CGCTAACTGTGAGAGAGAGATCAAGCAACGTGGGGAGCAAGGTTGTCCAAATTCCCCAAACCTGCGTAATTTCCAATGCCCAGGTATCACTCAGCCCAAGAAGCCCGTCAAGAGATTTTCGGTCCTTGCATTACCGAGGCCATCTCTACTGATAGGTCGTCGCTGGCGACTCACAGGTTGGCTCATCTGCTTCCAGTCCTAATACACAGCTATGCCATTACAGCTCCAAGATGCACCGAGACGTTCAATAGATATGTTGCGTGGATGTGATCGTTCTGCTTTCACAAAACGAGGGCCAAAGTAAGTGCTAGTTGACTCTGCATAGTAGCTTTGGTATTCGTCTGGGAGACGGTGCTGGGATATGATAGAGGGACTGTCCGTAGGAAAAACCACTGTAGTTCGAAATTCTTCTGCCATAAAAAAAAATGCTTCCTATTAAGCTATGGTATACGACTTGGACTTGAAGGCCAGAGACGCATTTTTTTTATTCTCTAAAACCATCCGAGCAAGCTCTGTGGGAACATAGAAGTTGATCACACTCATTCCTCCATCGAACACATAGGGAACTTGCCTAAACAAGATCTTTTCCCAACATTCTACTCTTTGTTTGCTACCGCTACATACAAAAAGTCTACAAAAGCCTCCCACGATTGCCAATACTTTGTCGTTGCTTACCATCGCTGTTATCTATACATCTTCCTCCTTTCACATCGTCTGAAAACCTCGTCCATCCATGAATCATCCGGACAGGATGGAGGCAGCTCGATCACAGTTCTCCAAAGCCGACTTTGTTCATCCGGATGTACTGGATGCGGAGGACCCACATCCAGTTTGAGGCTATGCACACGGTGACACTATGCCGACATAGGCAATCACATACTCAACCTTGATAGGGCCTATTCCAACTAAAACTCCGGATTGGGATTCATTCGGCGCCGAAATGGAGGTGTAACGAGGTGTCTACAGATGCTTGCTCTAGCTAGTCATTGGCCTCAAGTCCCTATGGTAACCGTGAATCGGGATGACACCTTCGTGCATCAGATGTGTCTCTCGAGTTTCTATTGGACCTAGGCTAATCAAAATAGTTGTGATATCTTGGTTGAAGACACTCGGATAGACGGGAGCAGTTTCCGCAACTGGCGCGCTTTTGTCCGTCATGATCTTATACAACATGCTGGTGCCAGTGTTGTACACCTCCCTACATAATCCGTTGCTTTGAACTCTGTCCATCTTGAGTATATGCTGATGGAGTATAGCCGACCCGCTATCATATCACCCGTCCACCAGGGAAAACACTGCTGAAGAAAACGCGATAACACGCTGGCTGTTGATGGGAGCCTGGCGTGCTGCCCTCTATGTCAAGGAACCTAAGCAGAAGGATATGACCGGTATCTCTGATCGGCTACAATTGTGATCCGTTGGAGGAAATTGCGCGGGTCTCTCCTGTAACTCCCCAGGGAGGGTTCATTAAGCCTACACTAATGACATGCTCTACCAGGCGTACTGGTGCCCAGTTAGCTGCCGAGTTCGGACCTCAATTTCACCGACCCGGGCACTCGGACGAGTCTCATGTATTCCAAGGCATCTGTAACGCTTGAACAATGATTCGGGACAACCTCGAACGGAAAAGAAAATAAATAGGGGTCTTTTTGCTTGCGTGTGCGTTAACCATGTCTATCAATTAACCATATGCCCCTGAAAAGTGAAAGGTTGATTCCTCTGAAGCTCAATTACCTTTAGTCTTTGAAGATACGGTGGGTTTAACGTGGTGTGAGGGCCCATCACATACATTGTGGCATTGTCCATACTCTCCCACCTCAATTGAGGGTCGCGTATATTAGAAAAAAAAACAAAAAACCAAGAGCCAAACTGTTCTCCAAAGTTGGATAGATCAAACTAGATCGATCTCAATTCTAATCCCCGCGCGCGGTTGTGCACGTGATCCGGCGTTTTTGACACGCGTGGGCGCGTCCCCCCGACTGCCTCATTTTGATCATTTAGATGTGACTCTCTTGGAGATTCTTCCAAATCAACAACCCGGTCTTCAATTGCACACTTAACCTCAAAATTTGGCCATGGCAGCTGAGAACGGAGAGTCTAAGCTCTTCGAGCAATGTTGTCTCTGTATTGTGTGCTCTAAGGATCTCTCGAGTGATACCGCGGAGCAGGTATGTGTTTTCCCGCCATTAGCACAGCTTGGACTAGACTGCTAAAATGAAAAAAAATTCAAATGCCCAGCTGGCAACAATCCTCGAACAAAATGGCGGCGAGCCTCTGATTGTCCAACCTGGTGCCGAGGTCCCCGACGTGGCCAAGTTCAGCCATTTGATTTCTACCACAATTGACTTCGAAGCCTACGATACTACCTGTGATGCATTAATCCCTGTGGTGAAGCCACAATGGGTGAATACTTCATTGACGAAGCGAAAATTGGCCAACCCCCGCCAATACAGTCCAGACCCGCGTCTGTTCATGAACGATGTGGTGGTTACATGCGGCGATATCCCCGAGGGAGACAAGGATGCAATCATAGGTGGGGTGGTCGCAAAAGGGGGCTTATACGCTCCAAGAGTCTCTCAGATGGTTACACACTTGGTCGATCTCACGGCCGATTCCGACAAGGCGCGCATTGTCCAGGCAAAGAAATTGAACGTGAAGATTGTTCTGCCGCATTGGTGAGTTGTATGGTACGACAGCCATTGACCCTAGCTGATTGAGGGCAGGTTTGACGACTGTCTTAAACTTGGTCGACGAATCGATGAACGTCCATATATACTTCCAGACCCAGAGATCTTGCGCGTGGGTCCTGATACGCCCATTCGATGGCAAGAGAATAAGGATTTGGTCGGTGCGTCGACAACAGACCCATCCAAGCTGCCCGAGCCTTCCATTTCGGCACATAAATCAGGTCAACGGAGTGTCTTCGAAGGGAAGTCTATTATGCTATCTCCAGATCTGGGCATTGGCTCGCACCTGCAGGAATCAATCAAAACTGTCCTCGAACAAGGTGGTGCCACAATGATATCAAATGTTGATGGGGCGGATATGTTAATTTGTCGCTTCCGAGAAGGATTTGCGTACCGCACGGCATCGCGACTGAACATAGACGTTGGAAATCTCGCATGGCTCTACCGCCTCATGACATTCAACACATATACTTCACCCCTCAGACGACTGCTGCACTACCCAGTTTCTCGCACTGGTATCCCCGGGTTTGAGGGCTTGAAGATCAGTTTGTCAAATTATGTTGGTGAAGCAAGAATCTACTTGGAGAACTTGATCGCAGCAGCAGGTGCAGAATGTACCAAAACCTTAAAGCAAGAAAATACTCATCTGATTACGGCACATGGCACCAGTGAGAAATGCAACGCGGCGAAGGAATGGGGCCTTGAAGTTATCAACCACCTGTGGTTGGAGGATAGTTATGCAAAATGGAAGCTACAGCCGTCATCAAACCCGCGCTACAGCCACTTCCCTCTGCGAACCAACCTCGGAGAAGTCGCAGGCCAGACTCGGCTCGATCGCAATGTTTTGGAAAAGGTCTTTTTCTCGTCCGGGGAAACCGTTGCTCAGAGCCCACGGCGCGCAATGCAGAGCAAGAACCAAAGTATGGTACCGGTGCAGCCTCCTGCCGAGAAGAAACGCAAAATTGATGAGGATGCCCCGGAATCTTCGCTCGGTACTCCGCGGGGCCCTGAGAAGGCACGCCGACCTATCCAAACACCCGCACGAACTCGAATCGTGTCCGAGGGCAAGGAAAACGAGACCCCGTCGTCCACCAGTAGCCGCAAGTCAAAAGAGGCGGCAACTGCCCGACTCCATGAGTATGCCCCGGACCTTGCCTTGTACGAGAAGGAAAGGAAGCGCGTGGGAGGTGTTGTCTACGGTGGCAGACGAAAGTCAGATGAAGACCGAGTCCAGGAGAACAAGAAGCGTGCCTCACTAGAAGCTGAGGATGAGAGCGATGGCGAGCCAGCAGTGGAAAATAAACGACCGAAAAAGTCTCGGCCGCCAATAGCTATGCACCTGTTGATTACTGGCTATCAGAGATGGGTGGGGAAAGGCAACGAGAAGAAGGAGGATGCAGAGAAGGTTTGTTTAGCTATTAAACATGATTTGCTCACGATCTACTGACACTTTCAACAGCGAGGCCTTCGAGATCTCGGTATTATGGTGGTCCAAGATGCTCGACGATGCACTCACTTAGCCGCACCGTCGATCTTGCGAACCACGAAATTTGTCAACGCACTTGCATATGCGCCGGTGATCGTGAGCACAGAATTCATCACCAGTTGTCTTAAAAAGGAAGAACTGCTTGACCCATCTGATTTCCCTCTGGAGGATAAAGAAGCCGAGAAGAAGTACAATTTTGACCTATCTTCTGTCACAAAAAACGCAAAGAAGAACAAGAACAAAATGTTGCAGGGCTATCGCATCTATTGCGTCGAGGACATTCGAGGCGGATTCGATGCATTCAAATCTATCGTTGAGACAAACGGAGGAGAGTGTATGCTTTTCCGTGGCCGTCTGGCCATAGCGAACCATTCTCGGCGGGAGGAGAGCGACGAGGAAAGCGAAGCAGAAGACGACAACCCTGCCAGCAAGGATGTCTTTCTTCTCAGTAGCGCAGGAGCTAACCACGGTCGAGTCTGGCCTCGATTCCGTCAATTGGCGTTTGATATCAAGAAAACTCCACGGATTGTCCGAGTTGACTGGCTTTTGGACATGGCCATGTCGCAGGAGACACGTGCCGCCGACGAATACGAGCTGACCGAGGAGATGATCGAGAAAATGGACCAGTAGACTGATACCAGGGTATTGAGTCCACACCCCTCATTCACCTTGAGCTTTCAACCCAGCATGGATTCTGTGCATTAGATTGGAGTATTGGCGATGTGATTTGACCTGTCTTTTGACTGCACATGAGAAGCGCTTTGTTTTTGTCACGAATAGCCACGATTTATCTCATAGAGAACTGCCAGCATCTCATCTTGAGCTCTTCAAAAGAACTTAACACCCTCTTGGCCCTCACCACCAAAAATTTGCGCCCTGCCCCTCTTGACCAAGACATTCAGCGAGCGCAGCATGACATCAGTATCCATGCCATGGAACTCTGTAGACGCGAATCAGTATACACCGTAGACACTATCTCTACATCCTCTAAATTCAGAGAAGTCTTACCCTGTGACATAGCCCCTTCCCCGTGAATCAACTCATAGACCGTCAGAACTGACCCCCTCTGTCCAGTACTCTCAACCCACTCAACCAAGACATCCGCCCACTCTTCAGGTCTCCTCCACCAAATCCACGCCACAGTCTTCGGCCCCTGCCCAGCGCCATTTAATAAAGTCACCGAAGACGACGCTCCTGCATCAGATATCCACTCCGCTCGCCGCCCACCGCCGTTTTCCTCTTCGCTCTTGGCCATCCAGTCGATGACTGCGCGGGCCTCACGTAAATCAAGGCGCTTGCGCAGGGCTGTGTTGTGGAAGAGCGGGGTTTCCACGGCGTCAATTAGGGAGAGGCGGTACTGACGATGATGTCGGCACCAGGACTGGATTAGAGAGGACCATTTCTCAAGCTGCGAGTGGCGGGTTGCTGTGTTTGGTTGCGGGGTGAAGAAGGGGGGAAAACTGTAGGTTGGTGGGAAGGGGAATGGGGGCATTGTTGTCATGTTGGAGATGACCAAAGAGTGAAGAGTAAAGATCAAATCGAACAGCTCAGATTGAAGTAAAAGAACGAGACAAGTCGAAGTAGAACGTCGAGACAAGAAGAGACACGCTGTGGAGTAAAAGGTGGGGCCGGATTTTCTCAGTTTCGACTTCGACCTCTTTTCGATTTCTCTCGACTTTCCCCTCTGCTTCCAAGATTGCTCTTCACAATGGCCACCCAAAACCCACCTGCGAAGCGCGTCAAGCGTGAAGAATACCGTCGCAAAGTACAGGCACAGCAGGAGTCCACAGATGGCTCCGTCATCAAGATGCCGCAGAAGAAATTCTTCCGCCAGCGCGCGCATGCGAATCCCTTCTCTGACCACCGGCTTGAGTAGTATGTATCCTCTTCTGCCAAGAACGTGTCGGACCATTTATCTGTGAAGACATCTGGGGCTCTCGAGGATGACTGGCGTCAATTTCTACGCATCCGATCACGAACAGATAGCTAACTGATTGATCCTCGCATAGCCCCATCAGCCCCGCGCATATGGACTGGTCATCCCATTATCCGGCATTCGTGGATCCAGATCCATCCAAAACGAATCTCAGCGGAGGGCGCAAGTTGACCAAGGAGGTCGAAGTTGTGGACATCGGATGTGGATTCGGCGGACTGATGGTTGGCCTGGCGCCATTGCTGCCAGAGACCCTGATGGTCGGTAAGTAGGGCGCAGTGAAATTCAACAACATTCTGATCCTTGGACCCGGCCGACTGAGCACCCATCAAACTAACCCACAAAACCACAGGCATGGAAATCCGCACCTCAGTGCTGGAATACCTCAGCTCTCGCATCCACGCCCTGCGCAGCCAACAACAACGCCTGAAGAACAAAGCTGCGAACGCATCATCAACCGAACCACAAGACAATTCGACGCAACCCGAAAGCACCGAATCAGCCCCTGCCCCAGTCCCAGCCAACGACGACGAGATCGGCACGGAGAAGCTCTTCCCAGGAAACTTCGAAAACATCACCGCAATCCGCAGCAACACAATGAAGTTCCTTCCCAACTTCTTCGGCCGCCACCAACTCTCCAAGATCTTCATCTGTTTCCCGGACCCTCACTTCAAGGCCCGAAAGCACAAGGCTCGAATTATCTCCGAGTCTCTGAACTCCGAGTATGCGTTTGTCCTGCGGCCTGGCGGTTTGCTGTACACCATTACCGATGTCGAGGAGTATCACCACTGGGTCCTGCGGCATTTCCTGCATGGCGAGCAACCGGAGGGTGCGCCAGCTCCTGCTGCGAGTAGCAAGGATCTGTTTGAGCGGGTTTCCGAGGAGGAGCTTGCTCTAGATCCTTGTGTGCGGGTTATGAAGTTTGAGACGGAGGAGTCAAAAAAAGTGACGAGAAATAAGGGCAACAAGTATGTTGCTGTTTTCAGACGCAAGGCTGATCCTGTGTGGCCTGCTTGAAAAGGAGTGGAGAGGATGAGATACCTACTTAGAAAGGAGAAGATGGAAAGTCCTTGGAGTCATTGATGTCAATGATGTGACGATGAGAGACAGGTGTTTCGAGGCGTTTTGTTCCCTTTCCATTCTAAATGAATTTCTTGTATCATACAACGCTGACAATCTTCGCTGGCTAACTAAAACAAAACAACAAACTCCTGAAATGAACCCGATGAAAAGGGGTTATAAAAAAACACGTGCAGACATATCAAAAATCAAGTGATGCAACAATCAAACACCGACCTCATGCGTGAATATATCATGAAAGCAGTAAAGTCGTAAAAAACATAGTGGTGGTAACCCCCTCAGCTAGATGGTGCAAAAGTCTAGCACATCCCAGGCGCCTTTAGACGGATACCTTCACATCTCTCACAAACAGCCAGTTGGACTGGACCTCCGATGACCCGGCCCTTCGCTGTTCTCTTGGGCTCACCTTCACGAACAAAGAAACGGCCCTCCGGACCAAACCCATCACCACACTCGTGGCAAGTGAAGCAGAGCTCGTGCCACTGGCCGCCAATTGCAGTGATGACAATCTCGTCCATGACTTGCTGCTTGCAGCCCAGACAACGTGGCGCGGTACGGCGGGAATGGCAGTGGAGACACCACGCAAAGCCATCTTTCTCGACAAAGGGAGTTTGGGAATCGAAGGGCTATATGAGGAGATACAGTCAGTTTGTCTGGAGCAGTAAATCACTTGAAGGGATATTCACATACATCACCACACTCTGCGCAGAAGAAGTGGCCGACATGCCATTCGGCACCACATGCCACGACCACTTCTCCTTCGATAGGGGTCTTGCAGCTCTTGCAACGTGGGCTGAACATTTCGTGGAAATCCAGATGGCAGTAGAAGCGTGGTACACGGGCCTCATGGTCATCAGCCTCGGTTTTTTCTAGTCTCTCGGCTCTGCTAGACTCCGGTTCTTGGTAGAAAGCCACACATTCGAGAGCTGTGTGGCAGTGGAAACAGGTAAAGCACTCTGGGTGGAATCGGCATCCGCCAGCGGTCACAATTTTGCCCGAAATGGATAGCGTACAGAGCTCACAGCTTGCAGTCGGGACACCAGACCGTGTATATGGCGAGTACCAACGGCTCTGCAACTCAGATCCCTGCTGTCTCGGAAACGCCTGTTTACTGAGGCTGTTTTTCGTCGGCTGGGGCAGTGGTCTAGTCGATTGCTTGGAATAGGCCTCGATCTCAGAAATAGTAGGTACTTTGATGTCCGGGATGTTGACCACGGGGATTGGAGATGGCTCGGAGACTTCGATTGTAGGGGCTGAGACTTCAATGGTCGGTGCTGCCACTTCAACCACGGGCAGGGTTGGACGAACAGGCTTCGGCTGGTCAGTTGGTTTCCAGGTCTGGTCGAAGCTCACGATCGGGCGTCCAATTCGATCACTGACGGCTGAAGGCATTGGTAACTTTTCACTCCGATCTCCCCGTCTTTTGCTCGTAGCTGCGCGAATTTCGTCACTGCGTCTTTCTCTTCCATCCTGGGTGGGGGCGGATCCTTTTTTTGGTTCCGAGGGAGGAGGAGTAGCACTCTCATTTCTGGTATAACCGGCGTTGTTCGACCGAGTCGGAGGAGGGGTCGTGCTTTCGTTTCGAGTGTAGCCAGCGTTACGCGACTGGCTGGGAGGGTCCTTGTGAACTTCAAATTTTAAGATTTTCTCCATCACAGGGCTACTGTGAGCTTTGTTCTGCAACCAAGGCAGTGGCTTAGGAACACGCCCCAGAGCATTGCGTGGCTTGTTTTTCAGAATTGACGAGTCAGATTTGAAGAATTCCGGCTTTGCCTCGGGTTTTTTCCGAGTATCAATGGGCGCTTCGTAAATTTGGTCGTTGGGGTCCTTGAAAATCCCTTTCGGTGAAACGTTGCTGACAGTCGGTGATTGGGGGGCAACGGATTGCTCGGGCTCCTCGTCGGGGAGTTTAAAGTTAACTTTGAGATTCTTTTTCGAGGGTCCAGCTAGGGATGATCGTTTCCGAACTGACTCAGGACTAGAGTTACCGTCCGAGGAGAAATTTGAACCTGTGGACTGGCTGAATTTATTTATCGGGGGGATAGATCCTCGCGAACCATTTCGGACAGGGCTCTGGTTGTGTTTGTTGGCATCTGGATTTTGGTATGGCGCATAAGGGTTTTTAAAAGCTTTGCCAGGATTTTGGTGCATCCAAACTAGCTCTGTAGCTTCATTCTGGGCTGCTTGGTGAAGACTAATGTCATCCAGGACATCCATTTTCTGCAAGGCCTCTCGCAGTAACCGTGCCTCTTCCTTTTCATGTCGTCGTTGACCATTCTCACAATATGTCACAGTTGGAGATGCCGGGAGGGAAATGGTACGTGCATTGATTTGTGCTGGGAATACATTCTTTCGGATTGAATGCGTGCGTGGCTCCTGGGCCAAAGGCCGACCTATTGCGCCGCCGCTAGGCACATTGGAATATGCCCGGCGATGGGACATTGCGTTGCCTGAGCTTCGGTAATCTTCCATTTTATCTTCGACTGGGGTGTGCACGGAGAATGCCGAGGATGCCCTTGGAGGAAGGCTATCAGGCCCATCGCTTGTTGATGCGATTGCTTTACCTGGGTATGGACGAGATCCTGTCGGACGGGCAGGACGGTTTGCCCGCAAGTCCTTCAAGTATGTTGCTGTTACCTATATCAGCTCCGGGCCCTCCAACCCCAACGAGTCACTTACAAACTTGATCATTGGACATGAAGGATGGACCAGGAGGTGAGACCTTCCTCTGACCAGTGGAGTGTTTATGCATCATGGAACTGCAAGGATCAAGGATGTGAAGGGATACGCGGATAAGTACAGGAAAGAGGGATCAAGACGAACTAAGATGAGAAGAGTTTAGTTGCGATCTACACTTGACGGTCTGAGCTGGCTAGCGTCATTGCCCAAACAAAGGCCCGTCGCGAGGCAACGGATGACTCATCATTTTCTTTGCCCTCGCATCTTCGAACAGTTCTTCTTGGAACATTTGAGTATCAGCCCTATGCTCCGCGAATGTCTCCATTTAAGCTATGTCCATCTTTCAAACCTTGGACTCGAAATCCCCCACATCTGCCCAATTGAGACTTGTACCGGCTTTTCGGCACAACATCCCCCCACAGCCAAGCCTGACACTCGGAGCTGCACAAAGATACGAGGTAGCTGCTACACCAGCTTCATTGGTCTATTGCCGAATGGTAACAAATAAACCACGAGATCATGGATATCTTTCCTCTATACGAATATGGTGCCTTGGATTCGTCATTTTCAAGTCCGATAGTCCGATGACTCCAATCATTGCCAAGGAGAATTCGATAGAAATCAATGTCCCCCTTTTTTTTTCTGTTAGCGTAGTAACTGAGGTCTCTTGCTTCTTTTCACTACTTACATCTGTGACGAAAACGGCAACTGGGTCCAGTCTATATTTAAAGGGGCCCGTTAGCTCCTATTACTGAGCTACGATGGCAGATAATGTGCCAGTTGGTATGCTCTGTTCTCATCAAGATGATCTGGAACGAGTGAGCGCAAAACAGGATCAGAAAGTACATCCAGAGTCGGCACCATTGGACGTTGACGAAAATGAAAAACATAAGCGCGAGGTGGCCCCGGATGGTGGCTATGGCTGGGTCTGTGTTGCCTGTGTTTTCTGGATAAATGCGGCATAAATAGCGTGAGTCACACATCTCTTTGCCATTTCACCGGCATTATAATAACCGGTCTAATATCCAGAGCTACGGAGTCTTTCTGAACTATTACCTCTCACACAATGTATTCCCCAACACATCTGCCCTATCGTACGCCTTCATAGGTGGTTTAAGTATCTCCTGTGCCCTTTTAGTGGCCCTGTTAGCCACTCACCTGATCTATAAATGGGGTGTACGATTTGTACTCAACCTAGGTATCTTCTTCGAAACCCTTTCTCTGATAGGGTCCTCGTTCGCAACCCAGAAATGGCACATCTTCCTTAGTCAAGGTGTCTGTTTCGGGTGGGGGCATGGGCTTCCTCTTCGTGAGCAGTGTCGGCATCACCCCGCAATGGTTTGATAATCACCGTGGTGTAGCTATGGGCATCAACGCTGCCGGATCTGGTCTCGGTGGCCTGATGTACTCCCTCGCAGTGGGCACCATAATCCCGCGCTACGGGTTGAGCTGGGCATTCCGCATTTTAGGTCTCATTTCGTGCATCGGGAATCTGGTCTGCTGTAACCTGCTCCGGGACCGCCATAAGGCCGTCGGTAGTAGATTCACGGCGTTCCATCTGCCCCTCCTACGTCGCCCAGAGTTTTTGCTCTTCCTCAGATGGGGTGTGTTCAGTATGCTCGGCTATGTGGCACTGTTGTTCAGCGTTGCCAACTTTTCCCTCTCCGTTGGCCTCTCGTCGCACCAGGGCAGTATTGTCTCAGCGCTGCTTAACCTCGGTCATGGTCTCGGCCGTCCGTTTTTTGGCATGTTCAGTGATCGGCTGGGTCGCATGAATATTGCCACTTTCCTCACATTCATCTGTGGTCTATTCTGTCTTGCAATCTGGACTTCTGCTGATAGTGTGGGTGTGGTATGCTTCTTCGCCGTTCTGGTTGGCACTGTCGCGGGTACGTATTGGGCTACTGTTTCGCCTGTTCTGGCGGAAATTATTGGCATAAGGGACCTTCCTTCCGGCTTAAGCATTACCTGGCTTGTGCTTGTTGCTCCTTGCACGGTCTCCGAGGCTAATGCCCTTCAGCTCCGCAGCGATAATGTTGGTGGCGGGACTTCATATCTGCGTGTTCAGATATTTACTGGACTCATGTATTTTGGTGCTTCCCTGTGTTTGTGGGTTGTCCGTGGTTGGAAGGTTGGTGAGTTGGAGCGTGCTCAGGGACGCCGTGATTCCGTCCAGCCTGGTCCGTGGACAAAAACTCAAGGTGATGATGAGAAAAATGTCGGCCCTGCGGCTATTTCCCCGGCTTTGGAGGCTACTAGAACGGATGATCCATTATGGGCCCCGGTTGGCTTGGTTCGCAGAATGATCTCACTGAAGAAGGTTTGAACATAACTGCATAGCGCAGAGTACAGAGATGCTAGGCACAATAAACATACAAAAATAGACAACCGTCTGTCGTTTATTTAATTTGAACGCCTTTTTAAACACGAGATCTAATCTACTTGGATGTAGCTCTTGGTTCATGCATCCATAACTAGAATCCGGACCCTTCTCTTGCCGGCGCCACGCCCCTCTTCTTTGACGGAGCTAACATTGACACGAACCTTTTGGAAGAGCTCAACGGTCACACTGCGTTCCTTCTCAGGGTGACCCTTCTCTTCCACCCGAAGGGTGTATTCCTCATTATCAAACTCCGTAGTGCGGTGAGAAGCTAGTTCCCGTCTCTCAGCAACAGAACGAGCTCCAGATTCACCGGGCAGAACGAAGTCCTCCAGACGAACGACACCTTCAATACCGAAGCGGGGAACGAAGATGACAACGCCGTTCTCGAACACACGCATCACATATCCTTCTTCTTCAATACCCGCATCGACACCGTCGGCGGCCATTTTCTCTCCGCGGGCCTTGAGAGCCTGGCCCACATAGTATTCAATACTAGCGCGGCCGGCATGCTGTGCGTTGCGGTGACGGACGTTGATGTTGCGGCAGATGTCTTCGAGCTTGTTGCGGGTACTGACACCCTCGATTATTGCGTGTCCATCCTCGCCTTCATACCCGATTGCAGAAGCCAATTGCCGGTGAACCATCAGATCGGCATATCGTCGAATGGGCGAAGTAAAGTGGGTGTAGATGGGCGAGGCGAGACCGTAGTGACGGAATTCAGATTCGGCAAAGGCGCCCGCGCAGAAGTATTCGGCAGAGGTCATACAGCGGGTCGCCAAGATACGGACTAGGGTGTTGAAGAATGGATTATTGGGATCGACGCAGCGATCCAAGGAATCAGCCAGAGCTCGTGAGCTGGAAACATCAAGCTCCATGTTCCGCTTCTTCGACAGCTGGTTTTGAAGGTCCTCGAAATTCTGAGGCGGGGGAGTGGCGTGTCGACGTAGCAAGGCGGTCTGAGAAAAGGACTCGTAGACCTTCGAACCAACAGTGATATTGGCGAGAAGCATGAACTCCTCGACCAAGCTATTGGTGTCAAGCATAGCCTTAGTCTTGACGTCCGTCAAAGGATCGCCCACTTCGTCGCCCTCGCTCTCAATGCGGACTTCCGGGGAGGCAAGGTTCAAGGCACCAGCGTCCATACGCTTCTGACGGAGAATCTTTGAGAATTTCAAGAGGGTGCGCATACTCTCGGTCAGCTCGTCCTGCTGTGATTTGTCGTCAATGCGTAATTGAGCTTGTTCGTAACTGAATGCTTCCCGGGAACGAATGACCGACTTGGTGAAATTCGAAGACACTATCTCGGCATCAGGTGTTATCTCCCACAGAACCGAGAAGGCATATCGTTCAACATAGGGCTTGAGAGAGCACAAATCTGTACCAAGAAGATGCGGGAGCATGTCGATACGCTTATCGACTAGGTAAACAGTGGTTCCGCGAACACTGGCCTCGATATCCATTGGGTTGTTGGGCTTGACGAAATGTGACACATCCGCAATGTGGACACCAACCTCATAGTTTCCATTTGGCAGGAGACGCGCGTGAAGCGCGTCGTCAATATCTTGGCAGCCGGGTGGATCGATACTGCAAATAAGCAAATCTCGAAGATCTTTCCGGCCATTCCAGCCCTTGTCTTCCTTCGAGGCAGGGACCTTCCAATCATGTCCTTCGGATGGAAGGCAGTCCAGTACAGACTTCGGGAATGGCTTGTACTGCACGTCGTACTCAAGCAATAGGGCCTCGGTTTCGGCGCCCTTGGTTTCAAGTTCTCCTAGAGACCGAACGAAGTGACCAGTAGGGTACCTCGAATCGCGGTCCCAAGAATCGATGGTGACAAGAATACGCTGACCGAGAATCTCACTAGCCTGTCTTGTGCGTACTCTGATCTTTGGAATACGCTTGTCCATGGGCAGTAAGAAAACGTTCTGCTGCCGTCTACCAGAGGCTTGTGAGCCAGTGGAACTCGCGTCAACGTGGCCGACATATTGACGCCAGCTGCGCTTGATCACACCCACAACCTTGGCAGTAGGTTGTGGCTTGCCATCCGAGTTCTTGCCATGGGCTTTTCTGACTTCTTCCTGGAGAGCTTTACGTTCTCTGTCCGTCACCACAGCCTCGGTCTCCTCAGTATCAGGGTTATCATTACGAGTCACGGCCTCCTCATCCACAATCTTAGTCGAAGGGCTCTTCCACTGATCCTGTGGGAGTACCTCGACAACGACAGAATCCCCTGCAATAGCTCGGTTACCGTTATCACGCCCCAGAATGAGAAGAGGTTTATCGAAAGCTGCGGTCTTGACGGAGGCTTCCAGGTAGTTGTAAGGAGAAACATTGAACACTCCTTGGTGCAATGTCCCGGCTCGGAGGCCAGTGGTCAGTTTTGACATTGAGAAGTATTCGGGGTAGAATAGTTCCCCGCGAGTTGTTTCTCTGGATTCTCGCGCATCCTTTGACTCGCTGATCATATCCAGCAACATTTCGGACCCCTCCAGACCGGAGACATAGTCGGATAGCGACAAGGCCGCCACATTTTCTTCCTTGCATTTCCGGATATTTTCCTTGTCATCAGTTATGACCACAATTGCCGGAATCGTCTTCTCCTTCTTTCCTTTCTTCGTTGATTGTTGCAGGTGGGAACCATACCAGCTTGCCACCATGCGCACAGCGCGATCATTCCTGTCATTGATTGTTTCCTCCGGGCCTCTCCGAACATGAGTCTCTCGGCGAAACTCATTGAAAAAGAGGTAGAAGCGTTTTTCGTCTGACTTGACGAGGGCCAGAAGACGGTTATAAAGTGGTAGTGAACGGTTTCTCAATTCCTCGAGGACAGTCTGGAGGACTATCACATCGTAAAAGGCCCCCGTGTGCTCGAAAAGATCCATCCCATTAAGCAGCGCATTTGTATCTGGAACAAGGTAGTGGCCTCGCGGGAATGCCGTCGTGCCGGCGGGGCGATCGGATAGAATGAACGGCGCAACTGATTCGCATTAGCAGCGTGCTTGACCATTGTCTAAATCGTTTCCTTACTAATTCCATTGGCATCAGCCGGCGCAATGGTTGGGCATTGTGAGCAGAGCTTAGAAGAGCAAGGAATATCTTCCCTCAAATAGAGCTCACGGACAATCTTTTGCACTTTTCCACTTTTTGTGGACCTCACAAACACCTTGCTGGTGACATTTGCGGCCTGCGGGTTGGCAGACAAGTCTCGCCTTAGACTCTTCATTGCAACGATAAGGGTTTGCCGTCTGGCAATTGCTGTGTGTCTCGTGAAAGATCCGAGGCGAGAGTCTTGGCGGGAAGAATGATTATCGCTGATCATCACGATAACAAGCTGAGTCAGCATATGGGCTCGTCACTTTGGGGTCGAAAGATGCAATTTGATTGCTACAATCGAGGTATTTTCTCATAAAGAACTTGTTTTTTTACTAATTTTTGATTTTCTTCATGCTCTAATATTCCATCACCATGGTTTTAGCGGTATTTGCTGCCCCATCCATCGGGTGTGAGCCACACGGCTAACAACATGCTTTGATACAGGCCGTGGGGCAGATATGCTCGACTAGCAACATAACTTCAAATCTAGCTCAGTGCAAGGCGCTGGTTCAAAGGGCTGCAGCAGCAGGCGCAAAGGTGATACAACACATATTATATTGCCAACTCTGCGATAGACAGCTCATATATTCTAGGTGCTGTTTCTTCCAGAGGCATCGGACTATATCGCATCCTCGGCAGAGCAATCCTACTCACTCGCCCAATCTGAAGAGAGGATTAGCTTTGTGTCATCCCTACAAAAAGATGCCAAAGAACAAAACATCCACATTAGTGTTGGGATTCATGAAGTAGCTTCTGAAAGCAGGCTCAAGAATCTATTGATTTGGATCGATGACAAGGGGACTATTACCCAAACCTACCAGAAAGTCCATCTATTTGACGTTGATATCAAAGGTGGTCCCGTACTCAAGGAGAGCGCGTAAGCTTGTTTTTCCTTTTAGATCCGATGGTTGACTTGTAATTCGCTAACCTTGAACCATCTAGGAGCGTCCAGCCGGGACAACAAATTCCAAGGCCATTTGACACACCCATAGGGCGCGTTGGTTTAAGTATTTGTTTTGATGTAAGTACAATGCATGTTGACATGACATCAATCATCAGACATCACACATCACACTCCAGCCGATTCAACTTCTAACTCATGGATTATCTAGTTGCGTTTCCCAGAGATCAGTCTGGCATTGAGACGGCAGAATGCTGAAATCATCACATATCCATCAGCATTCACTGTTCCGACAGGCAAGGCCCATTGGGAGCCTTTGCTACGCGCAAGAGCTATTGAGACCCAGTCATACGTGATTGCGGCTGCGCAAGCAGGCCCTCACAACGAGAAGAGACGAAGTTATGGTCATTCTATGATCATCAACCCGTGGGGTGAAGTAGTAGCAAATCCGGGAGATGAGCACCAGGAACCGCAAATCGCGACTGCCGATATTGATCTCGATCTCGTGGCAAAGATCAGGCGCGAAATGCCGTTGCTTCGGAGATATGATCTATATCCAGAGATTTGAGAACCCGGTGTGAACAGTGACTAGGCGAATGCCAGCTCTCTTTTTTGGTACATTTTTCGAATAGTCTATCAGATATCCCTGGTCCCTGGTCATACATAGAGAAGTCGATTCTACAAATTCGGCCTTTTCCTGCTATCTCTATGTGAAACTGAGAAGGGCACAGATTGTGCATTTAAACGAACATCTAGAACGATCAACCCAAACGACATCACAAGGCCGCGTACATGGCCGAATCTTCTTGTCAACCTTCATGTCCGTTGACTTGGATCAGTTCATGATGTCCTCAGTGCGAATTATAAGCATTTTGTTGCGACCGGAGCACCTATAACCAACATGACGGAAAGAAACTTCGAAAAGTGTAAAGTGATACAACAAGGAACAAACGAAAATAGACAAGCATGCAAAAAAAAAATCCTGTCTAAGAACGAGACCGGAACATCAAATCTGCCGTCGTAGGTAGTACAGGCATAAATCGAAATAGTCCCTCTTTGATCTCTATGTACAGCGTACAAAGTTGGCGTTTAGTTCTTGACCTTTTCGGGGTCCTCGAGGATACCCTCAGCTTCCAGTCTCCGCCGGGCCTCTTCGAGAGCCCATGTTTGTATACTATCGCAATTGTCAGTATTCAAGTTGTTCGAGGGGTATAGACGACAATGTTGAGGCACTAGGTCTGGATACGGGTTATACGTACGAAGTATCAGGCTTGAAGACGTATGCGACACCAGCGACCAAAAAGCTTCCAATGAATCCGTAGTACCAAATGTTCTCCCAGCCTTCCTTCACGTACTTCTGGCCAGGCTTGACACCGAACAGCCAGCCGGTGGGAGGATCATAATGGTCACCGTGATCAGCAGCACGGAGACTGGACCGGGTTGAGAATGCTTGGGTGTTCTGACGCTGGCGAAGCAAGCAGCGCGCCCGGAAGATGTGCGACAATGGCCGGGTAGTCATCTTGAAGATGGGGGTGAACGAGGGTTGACGCCGATTGAAAGAACACTGGCGTGCGAGAAATTTGGTGGGAGTCACAAGGGACAGAATTTTTTTTAGGGTTGAGTGGCTAAGACTGTCTCAATTGATATGTTGCCTCTTGTAGGAGAGTGGAGGGGTGCTTCGGCGGGTTGATGTTGAAGCCGTAAAAGGCCGGGAAGCTGTCCAGTTATTGCGCTAGTCTACTTTGGGCAATTTTCTTGTCCGCTTTTGCACCTGACCTTTTAGGCACAACTGCATTTCTGCCTTGGGAAATAGGTGTCAGCACTACACACGCGACGCGTTCCTATCACATCTGGCCCTCTCCCCCATGCCCGTCCTACAGGGCGTTGGAATCGCCATTCGTTTCATTTTTCCAAATGCACAAACACCCAAAACCATTGAACAGGTGAATATGATCTTTTAACTGGTATCTTTCATCTCAAACCCCCCAAAATATCCACAAACTCTGACGACATCCTGCTCTAGATTCCCGCGGAATGTATCCTTACCAATTTTGAACGTGTCATTGGATATTTCTGAATCGAAGCAATGGCAGCAAACAATGCATACCCTATATCATCAAACTCACGTACAAAATTGAACGCGTTTCGCTTCCAAAAAGGCGAACTGGTTTCCAACGACGCCACTTCGAAAGACGTGACGGAATTAGCCGATGGAAGCAAAAAACACAAGAATTTGAGCACCAACGAAGTGGTAGAGCCGATGCAGGTGTCTTCTGACAAAGGATGTCCTCCGCTTCGTGCAGCTAAAGCACCTGAACCTCAAATACAAGAATCAAAGCCGATTGAAGAATGCCCTCAGACTCCGGGAAACAGGATACCTCTGGCGGATTTGATCAGTAACGCCGAGGATTCGTTCGATCCCACACCAGGCCCGGAGGTGACGCCAGTCGAGCATGTCATCTGGCAGCATGTGCCTGCCAGCTCGAACCCAGACACCTCATCCCAAACACCAGCGGGTCGTCGCAGGAAGCGCCGGCACAGTTCTTCGCCTGCTGGCTCCCCGACGAACGGGAATAAGAAAAAAGTTCTAAAGGAAGCCCTTGATCTTCATTCAATGCAAGCCCTCTTCAAGACACCACAGCATGATATGGCTGCTGAATTGTGGAATAACTACATGGATAAAAACATGGTCGATGGCCCGGATGATCTTCCACCGCCACGATTCGCGAATCTTTTTTCCTCGTCGCCCCAGACACCAGGTTCAGGTAGAAAAAGTCGAGACTCGTCGGGGCTGAGACGTGCGATTAGCTGCACTACCGATTTCCCCACCTCTCGAACAAAACGACGACGAGTTAATAGATTAGATGTTGGTCTCAGTCGTGGCATTCAACGGACCAGCAGCAATGTCGAATCTGGGAGACCAAAGTCTTCGAGGATTAACTATCTTATGGAGAAGATCGAGAAAAGTATCCACATGGCCCCTGCCGACGCGGGTCTACCTGGATCGTCGCCTCTGCGCCAACATATGGATGCGCGAAGGTGTCGATCGTCTTCACCTACGAAGCACAATAAGCTTCACGAGGCTGATGAAGAAACCACCAAATCCCCATGTGCTTTTCAATTTGAGAAAGCAAAACCGGGACAACTGCCTGTTCTTCAAGAGTCGTCCTCCGAGTTTGGAGACGATGATCTTGATCAAGGCCTAATGGACCTGGCTGATGCCTCAGAGGATCCTTTCATTGGGCCTGCAAATCTGTCTAATGAGTTTGCTTCTCTGGGGTCTTCTGGCTGGGCTGCCCTTGTTGCAGAAAAGTCTCGCCCATGGCAGCCCAAAAAGATTTCAATTCCGGACAGCAAATCCTCCATTTCCATACCCCATGACACTACGACTAACGAAACAAAACGTGATGAATTTGATGACTTTGAAGATGAATATGATGATCTGCCTGACAACTTGCAGGAAATTCTTGCAAAATGTGACACAAATCCCGTTTCGGTCAATTTCTCAAAGCCAACAACTACTGTGCCACCTTTGCAAAAGCTAGATGCAACGAATGTCACGGTGAATGGGAGTATGCATAGCAAACCCCTAACCGCCGCATCTGTCAAACCTGAGGTTGTATCATCGGATGATGAGTTTGATGATGACTTTGATCTGGAGGCTATTGAGCAAACTATGAAGCAAGCAGGTGAAGGAAGACCCGCTTATGTTAGTCACTCTTAGTCGGTTAATCTCTAGAAATATGCTAAGACAGTCAAAACAAATAGAACCTAAAAGATCGACAAGCCATCAAACGTTACCAGATCGTTAACATTACGAAGAGTACATATGTTACTCCGAAAGGACGTACTCAGCCAGAGCAGGTCGGATATATTGCCCTTGCCCCGGATATAGTCCCGTCCGCTGACTTGAAGCCCAGGAGTTGCTAGTTGAAGACGAGAAGACCCAAGACCGCAAGGTTATCGTCTTGCGAGAGTCGTGGTTTGACACCCCCTGCAGCACTGACTCGTTTATCCACCTTGTCGGGGACTTCAACTCAGCCGGCCAATGCGTTGTGGATAATTTAAACCACATGATCATCCTTCACCCCGACCATCTCATTTCTGCTACGGTCGTAGCAGACTCGATGGACTGCCAGCGACGAGCTGTCCTTCAAGATAGAGTCAAAGTCATTGCCGCACTCGAGCGACCACAAGCCTTCGGAGTGTTTTTCCACGAAGTTTTTCAAGAGGCCCTCAAAGCGAACCAATGGGATATGGAGTCATTGAAGACGTTGGTTGAAACTGTCATGGGCAGACACATTGAAGAGCTGTACTCGATTCAAATGAGTATCCCTGAAGCTGTTGAATACCTCATGAGCAGGATGCCTGCTGTTCTCGACTGGGCAGATGCTTTCCTGCATCTCAAACCACAGGTATGTCTCATGGCCGATGGAGGCCTCTTTTGACCAAGAAATCTTGCTAACCAAGACTAATAGGCCAAGTCTATGGTTGAAGACCGCAATAACACTAAGCTTAACTTGAGTATCAACAAATTGCTTGAGGTAGAGGAGCATATTTGGTCCCCAATGTATGGCCTTAAAGGCAACATCGATGCGACAGTACAAGTCACTTGTCACGAGGATAAAATGGAGAAGAACCTGGTGGTTCCGCTAGAGCTCAAAACCGGACGAAGGGATACAAACCAGTCACATAGGGCCCAGACAGCCCTCTACACTCTACTCCTGTCGGATCGCTATGGTAAGTGACGAGACAATCTCTCAAGCCCCCCAATCCACTTTCGGCTAGTTGACTAGTTGCTTAAATTGTTGCAGATATCGATGTTACATTCGGGCTTCTCTACTACCTTGAGTTGACGAAAACACTCAGTATCCGTGGGATCCGACATGAATTGCTCCAGATGATCCAGGTGCGCAATCACCTCGCTGGCTATATTCGCGAAAGGCAGCAGCTTCCACCAATGTTGAAGAAAGCGCGTCAATGCATTCGATGCTATGCCAAGACCCCTTGCCTAATCTATCACAAGCTCTCCGAGGATGGCAATGGTGAAACCAGCGCACTTGGCGAGGATTTCGATGCAGCTGTCGGGCATCTGAACAACGGTGATCGAGACTTTTTTCGTAAATGGGATGAACTCTTGACCAAAGAAGAGGGCAATCTTGTGAAATTCCGGCGAGAACTTTGGACGTTGCTGAGCAGCGAGCGAGAAGCCCTGGGCCGATGCTTCGGGGATGTCGTTATCGATCCACATTCTGTGTATGAGGAGAACACCGGGACAAAGATAAATCGCTACCATTATACGTTCGTCAAGAGACAAGCGCTTCCTGATTTCTCCTTTGCTGAATCTCAGATATCCGTGGGTGAACCAATTGTCATTTCAGATGAAAAGGGCCATTTTGCTCTCGCCAATGGATATGTGGTCCATGTCAGTTCGTCGCACATCCAAGTTGGGGTGGACCGGAAACTCCACAATGCACGATCAAAGACAGCAGGCTTCGATGCGGTCACAAACCAGTCTTTTAGGGGAATCATGGAGGTTGGAAAAGAAGAGCCTGCTGCCCTGGAAACCCCAGATGAACAACTCGTCTATCGGATCGACAAAGACGAGTTCAGTAACGGCATGGCTATTGTTCGAAACAACCTCATCTGTATGATGGATAAAGACTTGTTTCAAGCAAGACAACTTCGACGGCTCATTGTTAAAGGACAGGCGCCCGCTTTCAAGACGACATCATCTTCCCATAATATCTCCGACCCTGACAACCTCAACGTTGATCAAAGACAAGCCATTGACAAAGTGATGAGCGCCAAAGATTATGCTCTTGTCCTTGGAATGCCTGGGACTGGCAAAACCACAACCATTGCCCACATCATCAGAGCCCTCGTCGCACAAGGCAAAAGTGTTCTTCTTACGTCTTACACCCACACTGCAGTTGACAACATTCTGCTGAAGATTCGAGACGACAAGATTCATGTGCTGCGTATAGGTGCAACGGCCAAAGTTCATCCAGATGTTCAGGAATTTGCAGATCTTGCCGCAATCCCGAAAGCAACCATTGAAGAACTCAGGGATTCATACGAAAAGCCGCAGGTTGTTGCCACTACATGCCTCGGTGTCAACCATAACATTTTCAATCAACGCATCTTTGACTATTGTATTGTCGACGAGGCGTCGCAGATCACGCTCCCAGTCTGCCTCGGCCCGATTCGTATGGCGAGGACTTTCATCCTAGTCGGTGATCACTATCAATTACCGCCGCTTGTACAGAATAAGGCGGCCCAGGAAGGAGGACTTGACATCAGCCTCTTCAAACTCCTCTCGGATGCACAACCGGATTCAGTTGTCAACCTCGAGCACCAGTACCGCATGTGTGAGGATATCATGTTACTTTCCAACACCCTGATTTACTCGGGCCGTCTTAAATGCGGCACGCCGCAGGTAGCAGCCCGGTCTTTGGACATACCAAACATCAACGCCCTAGGAAAATTCCATGTCGAGGACTTGGCCCATTCTCAGTCACAGTCCCAACGAGAAATCTGCCCAGGTACCCCCACTAGCCCCTGCTGGCTCCGGGACTTACTGGAGCCATTTTCCAAAACGCGCCTGGTCAACACCGATCCCATCGGCCCCGCGGCCCTCGAGATAGCACAGGGAAATCGTGTCGTGAATCACATGGAGGTCTTCCTCTGCTCGCAACTCGTAGATTCATTCATTGCCTGTGGTATTCCCGCGCGCAATATTGGTGTGATCACTTTCTACCGCAGCCAACTCTCCCTCCTTCGTCAGAGCCTGCGACGCTACACCCCAGATCTAGAAATGCATACTACAGACAAGTTCCAAGGCCGGGACAAAGAGGTCATCATCCTGAGCTGCGTCCGCAGTAATGCTGAAAACAATGTCGGCGAGCTCCTACGTGACTGGCGTCGTGTCAACGTTGCCTTCACCCGCGCCCAGACCAAGCTCCTGGTTGTTGGCAGCAGATCCACTCTCCGTGATGGCAATGAGCTCCTCTGCAAATACGTGCGTCTGGTGGAAAGCAAAGGCTGGGTTTATAACCTGCCCAGTGGAGCAATAGACAAGCATTTCTTCCCTTCTTGTGCCACGCAGTCGCAGCTCGTGTCTCCCGGCACGGCCTTGGCTTCTGGCTCTGCTAAGGACAAAGGTAAGGGCAAGAACGAGTCACCTTCTTCTCGAATCACCCGTGAACCACTAAGCCCACTGGGCTCCCGACAACCAGCGCCCGGCCGTCGAAAGCCTTCCAAGACGGGTGCAAAGTTGTTCAACGGCACGGACGTGGTTGGAAATCGGCCCATTCTGCGAGACATCGTGAATGATCTGACGGGCTAGCATACCCTGCTTTAAACAAGGCCCTTCTTTCTGTTTTTGAAATGCATCCCGAGGCGTTCTGTTTAACTATCTCACATGGCTTGGCGCGCTGAGACGGCCATTCCCAATTAACATCTAATACTTTGTGCCGCCGCGAATCTTTTGAGCATCCTGTATGTTCTGAATTCTCTTTGCTTTACACCCTGTTGGTTATTGGTTGTCATACAAGCTACAAGCAAGATGCTCAATGGTCAGTCTCTCAATTAATTGAATCTACAATGGGACTTGATGAACTGAGAAAATTTGATTCAGGTAGGCTACAATCCATGTGTACCCACTGCAATACCGTGATCAGAATCCTTCTCTTGAACAAATTCTCCTTCGAAGTTTGAACTACACATCACAAGACCCGCAAAGACCTCCTTGTCAACATCCTCCGTATTTTCTCCTTCACAACGATGTCCGTTATTTCATGGTGCTCCTTCGAAAAGGATAAAAAAAAAATTCACGATTGCCAGACAAACACCATCTCTGCGCGATCTTACTTTCGAGAGATTCGTGGTTTCTTTGCCTGGGGTCCGTTCATGTAGGATCGGTCGCCATTAGGGCCAACACCCCATCGGGCATGATTGTTTGGGTTGGCCACGAAATTGGGAGGCACGATGTTCTCCACAAACTGGAAAGTTCTCTTGCTGGGCGAAGCGGCAGACAGGGAAGAAACAGACTGCGTACGGTCCTTGGCAGGGGTGAAATAAACTCCCTGCATTGATTGGATGGGCTGCTGAACTTGCCGAGCCGCTGCGGCTTGGAATTGCTGGGTTTGTTGCATCACAGACTGTATGCGCTCCTTCGGAGGCGTGGGATAAACAGCTTGCGCTTGTGGAGCGGGCTGCTGAACTTGGTGGGCCGCTGAAGCTTGAAGCTGTTTGGTTTGTTGCATCATAGACTGCATGCGTTCCTTAGAAAGAGTGTAATCAACTGCCTGCGTGGCTTGGAATTGCTGGGTATGTTGCATCATAGACTGTAAATGCTCCTTGGAAGGAGTGGGATAAACTGCCTGCATTTGTTGAGTGGGCTGCTGAATTTGCTGAGCCGCTGCGGCTTGGAATTGCTGAGTTTGTTGCATCACAGACTGCATGCGCTCCTTCGGAGGCGTGGGATAAACAGCTTGCGCTTGTTGGGTGGGCTGCTGAACTCGCACAGCCGCTGGAATTTGAGATTTCTGTTGCTGTTGCATTTCATACTGTTGCTGTTGCTGATACCGGTATTGACGGACTTTCTGTTTGTGCTGCATGATCTTTTGATGGCACAGTTTCATCTGCTGCTGGTGGAGCTGACACTGCTGCTGGTGAATCTGGAGCTGCTGTTGATCTCTGGGCTGCTGTCGTTTCAGATGACCTGACTGTTGTTGAAGCTGGTTCCACTCAGTACGAAGATACTGCTCTTGATTTCGAAGAAGCTCTTGGATTTGAAGATGCTGTTGTTGGCTATAAAAGGGCATTGTTTTGCGAGTGGTCCCTGTCACTGGGGGCATCGAGGCAGGGACAGGAGTCATTGGGGCAAGCGCAATCTTCTGAGGTGGGGTGATTGGAGCAACGGTCGTCTTTCCCTTCACCTTGCGTGGAGTGCTTTGCGCCTTTGTCTTCTTCTGTTTTTTGGGCAGCTCGTCATCTTGCTTGTTCTTGGAGACCCGCTTGGCTTTCTGCTTGGGTGGTCGCTTAGCAGGCTGAGGGCGCGATTTGCCTTGTGGCAAGTCAAAAACCCTGACCGTTCCAATTGCTGAGTCGGAGGTGGCAGGAGTGACTTGGGCCGCTGGACCAACGATACCTGGAGCACATTGGGAGACGGAAGTAATGTTGGTGACTGGAACGACATGGGTAATGTACTTGATTAAAGGGGTCGCTTGTGTGACCGGGGCAGCGGTGGCGGGAGTGGCTTGAACAGCTGGGTCAATAGTGACCGAAGCGCGTTCATTGACTGGAGCGACTAGAGCAGTAGTGACAGGGGCGACTTTAATGGCCGTGTCAATGATGACCTGAGCATTTTTGGTGGCTGGAGCATCAGTGGCGGGAGTAAGTCGAACCACTGCCGTGGGAGGACCCAAGTCGGCGTTTTCGAGAGAGTTGAGGGTATCCAGCGGATAGACTGTGCCCTGCTGGTTGGCGCAAGTGCTGGGTGGAGCCACATCATCAATCATGACGGGAGTAGATGATTCAGGGTCAAGCTCCAGGTGATCCAGGGTCACTGGGCCAAGGACGGGGTCTACACCGAATTCCACAAAAGCCTTGTCAAAAGTCGAGCCAGGAGCCTCATCGGGGTCTCCTTCGAAGCGATATCCTAGGAACTCGAGTCAGTTTAGTCCCATGGTCCTAAAAATAAGATGCAATTACCATTGGCATGAGCAAGTTCCCAGATAGAAATGCAGGAACCATCTTCGTGGTAAAATGACTCGGGTACCTCCCATTCGTCAAGGCCCAAGAGAGCCTTGTGGGGGTCTTCATCATAAGGCACATCGGCAAGTGCGTCGGTAAAGAATTGGGTAGCCTCGGTAGGCTCCTTAACGGTAGCTTCCATAACGAATGATGGGATAAATGTGAATGTGAATGAAAGTACAGGTGGTAGAGATGTAGAGTCCAGGAAGGTGCAGAAATATGAAAATTGATAAGAAACGATGAACGATGTGTGTCAACTGCTGAGTGAAATGCTCGAAAAGCAACGGCTATGAAACAGCTAATTGTATTCTGTAGTGAATGAATGATATTGAATGGGGGAGATGGTACAATGAGCATGGGGAAAAGTGTGGGGGAAGGGATAGGGAAGAAAAGATGAAAATAAGAAAATAAGGAGAGAGGAAAGAAGAAGAAGGAGGAACAAGGAAGGGGAGTTGTGGGAAAGTACGTGACGTGCTCTCGTTCAGGGCAAGATGATGGAGGTTGCGTGAATGAAGCCTTGGACTAAGCTCGCCATGGGTTACTTGGGTTGGCGACAAAGGGCACAGGGTTAGGTCAGGGTTCAGTCACTGATGCTCCCATCAACTCCCAACATAAAGTCAGCCGACCACCAGGTCCAGTGGTTCCTTTGCCATTCACCTTGGACACTTCATTAGATTCACGGGCCTGTCCACCAGGAAAGACCATAACCGTGAATCCATCCCTTCCTTCCACAGCTTCTTTACCTAAAGTAGCGACGGCAAGTGTAAACCAAGATAAATTGCTAGCCTTGGTGTTTTGCCTATTCATTGGACACTGTCAGCTCACGGCCCGACGTCTATATCAAGGGATATTCGAAACTTACAACAGATTCAGGAACAGCTGCATGATCCAACGGGACGATATCAAACCATGCCATCTTAAGCTCATCAAATCAGAGGCCAGGCTTTCATCGGCGTCTGGAACTGCATAACGACTCAGGTACGGATCGACGTCATCTTCCCCAGATAATCGCGGAGAAGCCATCTGAACCATGGCAATCCACTCAGAAAGGGAGCCACAATATTCCTGCAGATCACCTTCCGACATTTTCTCGAGGACTTTCCCGTTTTCGTAAAACGGCGGAGTGATGATGTGCTCGTGATCAATTTCCTGTGGCTCACAGATTGTCAACTGTGGTTGAACTTTATTGATCGGCTTATTTCCTGCTCCGACTTTTAGTGTGAAATTCATGCTATTTCCATTTTGGTTTTCGGGCTAATCACCTTCATCTGGACCGAGGTTGCTTTCCAGGTCGTGAAAGAGCCAGGCCATTGATTGAGTCAGAACATTGGCAAATGCCCAAACGATTCTTTCGAAGCCTTTCTTGCCATGTAGCATCGAGGGCAACCGCAAGTTCAATTCTACCACTGACGACATGATTAGTAAAGGTTCAACCGGTCCATTTGCTCTGCTTGCACACACAAAATCTTTCTTTTGCATGTTTTCTGCCGCCGCCGCGGAAAGGCTTGCCCGTGAGACCAGTTCGCTCATAGATTTCCTTTCCTAGTTCCATTCGAAGTACTCCTATTTCCATGTGAGTCAATTCTCAGTTCCGCAACAACAAGACTCTTCCAGCCGCAGCTTTAGGGAAACGAACCATCTTGGAGTGTGAAGACATTATCCGATCCCGAACGTCCTTCGGATACCATCAAGATATTCCCTATGTCCCAAGTCAGATTGCCATCTTGGATAAATTGTATCTTCCGGGCAGAAAAGCTGTTTGATGCTTGTGCAACTGACGGCTTTTCAAATGTGGGAGAACTTTTGGACTGAAATGGCGGAGACAGAATTACCTGACTTGATATATGCATTGAAAAAATCATGCTCAAGCAGAGCTGAAGGAGCCATGAACACTCGTGCATATCGAGGTTTTTCTAGTTTGGTCTCGAGCGACGGCTTGATCTGTGAGTAAAACTCCTTTGGCAAGATAACCTCAACCTACGTTCAAGAATCAGTCAAATAGCCATTCGCCTCTCAAAGCAAGCCACCGGCTACCTACGGAGTGCACAAATGCATGGTTTTGAATCGTTGAAAAGGGCGATCTCTTGCCCGGTATCTGCTTCGGGTCAATGAATGCTGGCAGCTGTGCGATGGTTGTGAAACACTTTTCACGACGCGATATATCGTCCACTTGTTCAAACATTGTGTCTCTGATAGCCTTCAAAGTGATGCTTAGCGTTGACAATAAAAGTTCTTGAGTTCTGAAAGGTCAATTTTTCAGCCGAAGGGTGAGGTTCGATTAAGCTCGGGCTTATCGGACCCATAAGGCTGCAGCTATCAAACTTTCCACGTTCAATCGGTGAAATGGAATTTGGCATACTTTAACAACATTCAGGTAGCCATGTAAGAATATAATACTAGAACTAGACATATTGAGTCTGAATGGCACATATGAATGACATATGTGAATACGAGACAGAAGGTATCAACAAACATCAACTGCCTCAATTTTGTAATGAGTATAATAGCTCAACGTAGCCTTACGATCATATCAACCCCTAAGAGGCATCTGAATCTAGGTAGAGCTCAATCTCAGTTCTTCTGAGTTGAGATTTGCTCTAGGGGGCTCTATCATGTAACTAGGTATGTTCATGTATAACAAACAAGATGTACTGTGAATAAGAATACATAATGCATAAGAATAGTATCTATGTATGAGACATAGAACGTATGGCCATGAAATTAAACCCAAAAAAATGACTCTAAGAAAATGACAATGCACCAATTCAAACCTAAGCAAGCTCATATCTACGGCGTAGTTCCTGGTGGTGTTCCTTGACATGTAGTGATTTAAAGGCATTTCTTCCTTATAGGTGGGAAACTGTGAAACACATTCAAAACCAAACTTGCTGAATTTTTGCTCAATCTCTCCTAGGATCTTTCCATCCCAAAATCTTTACACACGTTCTGGCGATTGAAACGCACGTTGGGGACGCAAATCGAAACCATTACAACAGAGAGCATTGGGTGCCTGAGGCGAATCTTGTGATGGCGGTAACACCCGATAAGGATTCCCTGGCAGTATCGGCCTTCCCTAAGGCGGTATCTGAGTACTCTCCAATTCGGTCGGTCCATCGTTCTTCGGATAGCATCAAGCCTAAGCTGCTAGATCCTATCACTTCTACTACTACTATCACTTCTGCCGCCAGTTTGAATGCAGGTAACCGTCTAGTCTTGCGCCAATTGCTAGAGGAGGTAGACGAAGAGATGGCGCCCGCTTCGCGTCGCGAGCTCCTACACAAGGATCACTTTGCATTCGTGTTTGGGAGCTTAAAGACGCAAAACTACTTAGATCCTGTTTCCAAGGGACCAGGGTCTCACACGTAAGTCGGGTATATGCACCAGGTGCTGTCGTTCATTGCTGACAATGGTCTGGAACCACAGGATCCGCACTCTTGCCTGGAACCCCACGGGCCAGCTGATTGCGACTGGCTCGGCAGATCGCACTCTACGAATCTGGAATCCCGAACGTCCTCATGTACGATACTCTACCGAATTGCGTGGCCACACAGCTGGTATCGAGAAGGCTCTTTTCAACCCGGTCCGCGATGCGGAGCTGGCTAGTTGCTCGGCCGATGGTACAGTGCGCTTCTGGGATGTGCGCTCCAAGACATGTGTGAGCCGTCTCGATGTTGGTGGCGAAGCATTCACACTATCCTGGTCTGCTGATGGCAGCACAATGATTGTCGGCAAGAAGGTAATCATGCAGCGCTTCGACTCCGCAGACTTGATCCCTCTCACTAGAAAGTCACTAACATGCGATATGTAACTAGGACGATACCTTAATCCCCGTCTCCGTTCAATTCCCGTCCTCTCCTACTACCCACCCCGATGGCGTCAATGCTCTGAACCTTCCATCCTCTACACCCGGCGCAACCACGTACACAGCTCTCGACCCTCACCCTCAGACCGTCCAAACAAATGCAACAACCTTCTCCTGGTGCATGCCGACCCCCGAACGTCCGGAGCAGCAAGTATTCGTGACGACCGGCGAAGGCAAGGTCAAAATCATGTCCTACCCTTCCTTCGACATTATGCACACTCTCAACGCCCACACCTCAGCCTGCCTTTCAATTGCGCTCGCCCCGACAGGCCGATACCTTGCAGTTGGCGGGAGCGACGCTCTCATCTCCCTCTGGGACACAACTGACTGGATTTGCCGTCGTACTTTGTCTAGCGAGAACGGTGGCGCTATCCGTGGCGTGAGCTGGAGCTTCGATGGTCGCTACATCGTGGGCGCATGTGACGAGCTTGGATGTGGTGGGAATGGACTGGAGATCTTCCATGCTGAGTCTGGTGATAGCATTTACACAATTCCTACTGCCGGCATCAATGCTGGTGTCTCTGCTGTTGCGTGGCATCCCTCTCGCTATTGGCTGGCTTACTCGACTACCACTGATGGACCTGGTAGCTCTAGTGCTGGAGGCTTGAAGATTGTCGGTGCTGCTGGTGGTGGCCTGTAATCTTGAGCGTCTTATAGTACTTACTCTTCTTCAGTGAGCTTTTTACTGGCTCGAAACTCTCTGATCTAGATTAACATCAAAAAACTATCATGAATGGACGTATTGAAAAAAAGACCTAACAATTGCTAGGTAAGTAAATAGATTTCTCGGAATTCAGATGTAATCTAGGAAAGATTGTTTATTAATATGAATTGTCAGGCCCCAAACAATCCATTTTCAACTTTGTAAGCCACCCCAGAGTGAAGAGTTTCGCCCCCAAAAAACCGTACATTCGTTCGTCGTCATTTCGTTCAAAAATAGAGCTTAGTGGAGGCTCATCAGGCTGCCGCTTTGCTCGAATTTTGTGGCAAGAGGGGAATTGCAAAGAGTTTTGCAGTTCTGTAGCTGGTGAACCAACATTTATAAGAGAAGGCACTCGATCCAAGATATCGTAATAAGTGACTCCATTATTTGTGGAATTAGGATGCCGGTGCCTCTTGTAAATAAATCTCAGCCCGGGTCGGGGAGGGAACCAAAAGCGAAAGAGAAGTATCCAATCGGATGACGACGTGCTTCGAGTCGCGTACGAGATTCTCGGCCAGAATTGATAAGGGCGTAGATGGGTCGTCCTAATTGGTGAGGGCCATGATGACACTGAGTGGGCCGAAAGAACGCAAAGGTCCAATGTCGTCCGTTCCATTCAGTGGCACAAATAGAGGCTTCACTTGTTGCAACAATCTCAAGTTTGATGAGTTGCTGCCATCGGAGACTATCCATCCAAGACCCTCGGATAGGAAAGCATAATCTACCACGCGCTGCGCTCAAGATTGCCGCCAGTTCTCCCAGACAGCGTTGGTCCCATTTTCATTCGGGATTTGAGTATTCAACAGCTGAGTCCATTGAGATTCACTGAAAGTCTCCATGTTCAGACCGCCAAATTCCTCATTGCCCGTTCCAGGATTTGGGGTTGGAAGGTCCCACGCAGAGGGCATGGAAAAGATTCCCGACGCTCCGGTGCCGACTGATGGGTTATCGGAGCTGTTTGGATAGAAACGACCAGCTATAGAGCCCAAAACAGTGACTTGCGGGTTAGTGCTTCCTTGTGGCATGATATTTGGATTGGCCTTGTCAAAGGACGGGCCCGACCCCTGACTTGAATACACAGAACTTGTTTTTTGATTCTTGTTTCCGGGCGATGGGGCGTCGGGACCGTTAATCGAATAGGAGGTGTTGGAGGATGAATTCAGGGTTGAAGGGGTGGGGTGGTCTGATGGTGGGTTGTTTCTGTCGCCGAGGTTGCCAAGATCAGGTGGAAAGTCCAAGTCCATGTCGATAATGGCCCCTGGTTGTCCTGCTTGTTCCATTTGTGAACCTGTCAGCTGAGTAGAACTTCCGAAGAGAAGACGCGTGTCGTCATCATTAAAGACTGGTCCTGCAGTTGGCTGTGTCGTTGAGTCCCTATTTCGGTTAGGGAGGGTCGCCGTTAAACCAGTAGTCACAGGCTGTTGATTGCTACCGCGATTGATAGAGTACTGTGGAGAAACCTCCTTCGCCATCCCTTGTGTTTGGCGGATGTTGTAGATAGGAGTACAGTCTACATTATCGTGGCAGCGTGCTTGCTAGAAAAAAAAAACGAGATTAGCTTGCATTGGCTATTGGGAAATAAGCCGGGAAAACCTACTACCATCGAATGTGCAGCAGACATGTTGGCTTTTTGCCTATCGTCTAAAGCGCGAATACCAGTTCCATCAAGATCAACATCCAATTGAACAAGGAAGGACTCAGTCAGAGGGTTTTTGTTCTTCATGGCGTTCAGAGCGGAGACGAGAAATTGCAACGAGGAATGAACACTCGAATCCTCTGGTCGGGATTTTAGATACTGCACAAAGACACGAGCAGCAATGTAAAGACAAAAGGACATGAAAGGATTTAACTGTAAGGTATTAGTACAAAAGGGTTGGGAAAGAAAGCTCGATAGAAACTTACGCTCGTCAAATCTACGTGGCTGATCATCTTCATGGTGCTCGAAATCTGGTTCGCGGCGACAAGGCATCTGCGCTTGCTTTCGGTCGTAATCTGCATCGGCATCCTGTTCTTTTCGGCCTTGAAAATTGCCGCTTGGTGAAGGCATATGGTAGAAGCATGTATGCTCATGTTGGCGAAGATGACGTTCACGTCCGACATACCACTTGGAAATCGAAGGTGATCAGGCAACGAGAGCGAAATGTGAAGAAGAATATTGTCATGACTTCTGTGGCGCTTCCAAAACTCTCCATTGAGGTCATGATCGTTGTCTTGTGGCTGAGGCCGATGAATGTGTACGAGGTTACGACCGAAAAGACTTGCCAAAACCATCACACATGCAAAAGGGGCTAATGTAGAGACACCATCTCCGGTGATGATTTCGTTTAGATGAAGCGTTCGTTGTGGCTTGCTCTTGGTAAACGATTCTTCGGATGCGGGGAGGTTGGTCATGATCTAGTTTTTGTTAGCCTACTCCGTGAAGAAGGTTCACAAAAAGAGATACTGACATCGTTCTCATCAATGAGAATAGGCCAACCAGTTCCAACACTCGAATATCTGTCTGTGGCAAATGCGCCCCAGAAGACTCTCCTACGTTCTTCACGCTCTGTCCAATCTTTTGGTGGCAAAATGGATTGCTTGACGTCAAGGCCAACACCATCAAGCCGATTCAACCCCAGCATCAGTGCAAGTCTTGCAGCTTTGCCCACGCTCAGCCAAGCTCGCGGGAAGAAGATCATTCGGAATTCATATATGCCGATAAAAATCCATGTTTGACAATGTGCTAGACTAACAATGTTCTCTCCGAATCCTTTCATTTCGTCCACCTCAGCATATTTGCGTGCCCGTTGGTAGAAATGATTATGTAGAAAATAGTATTTGTCACTGAGGGATGCGGCATTGCACCACATGATGTAACGCAGGCAGATCGGGGGTCGCATATTAGGGGGGAGATTCAGGGCTGCATAGTAACGGGGGCGGTGGATGATGGGCATCATTGGATAGATCTTCTCAAAAAATAAAGCATCCCTAGACAGTACCATTGCATTAGAGACCAGTTCAAGTGAAAAGCCGCAAAGAACACGTACAGATCATCAATCACATCCTGTGAAGGAAGGGGCTCCTCCAGTCCTAGACTTATCAAGTCCCATTGAGAGTTGCCGCCCCGCTGGGTAGTTGGCGGCGGAGGATACAACATTTGACTTGGTTGGCCTGCGCTGGGGCCAGTAGGAGGTGAAAACGAGCTATCCATGTTACCTCCAATACCCCTCAGCTCTCCCAAGTCCGAGAGGTCAGGCAAATCTAATATAGATTCATCGGCTATAGGTGCTGTGAATGTATTCTCCAGGGGTTGAGGTGGGGAGGTTCGTTGGGTGGGTTCCGGATCCTGGCCTTTGAGAAGAGTCTCTACTTGAGCTGATTCGATAATGATCATTAGCGATACGGCTGAACTCACTGCCAATAGAGCAGTTGTGACCAGTGTTTTCAACGGCTTCGTACCTAATCGCGCTTCAAGCTGCTTGACATATCCCCGCTTGGGACCACTCTTCTTGCGCACTTCATCGTAAGAGCATTCATGCCCCAGACGTGAGCAAGTCCCACAGCTAGGTCGTCTCCCATCACACCTCAGTTTCCTCCTCCGACAGACAACACATGCGATGCGCTTGGGGCGGGGAACGAAGTTGCTTTCTCCGGTGTTGGTGCTTTCAGCAGCGGCGCCACTTTCACCAGACATGAACCCCATTTGAGACGGGCCGAATTCTGTGGAGTATTGAGACGGTTCGGGTCCAAAATTGGACGCCGGAGGTGCCGCCATGGCGGGCTTGGTTGCAGACTTACAATCTCGGGATGTGGTATAGCAGCTGAGTAATTCGAGTGGATGAGTTGTTGGTCAACGCTGGTTTGTCCGGGTGCTGCTTTTTAGGCAGAAAAATGGCGCGATAAGGATAGCCTGGAGCGCGTCAAAAAGCCAGGGACTCCCAACTGTTGGCCAGATGTGACGAAGTGGAGATGTAAAATGGAAGTTCTATGATGGTGAAAGTTCGTATCAGGAGAGGCTGAGCCGTCCCGACTTGTCTAAATGAGGAGCTAGATCAAAGAACCCAAATTGTTCGTTTCGATCGGATTCTAATTAAATCCATGAGAATATCTTGAATTTCCATACTTACTCCCAACGAGAGTGTTGAGAGGTGCGATTAGCAGAGAGGGCCACCCACCAGCGAGACTGCCTGGAGGCTTGGCACGCATCTGCCCAGGTGGGGATCCACAGCTACTCAAAGACAGAGAACTCCGTGCTTTGTGCCAGCGTCTGTTGTATGTAGTATATTTGCTATGTGCAGAGAGATGAACCCGTCCTAAAAACTCTTTTTTTTTCTTTCGCTTTGAATGCATTTGGCCCCGAGCCATCGTACTGTACAGTGCCCATAGCCCGAGTTTCAGTCAGATGGCAGATGCGCAAAACAAGCATCCCCAAGAAATAGCGAATGGTAGAAGAAACGATGAGACATTTAATGTGTCAAGAAACAGAAAAATATATCGTACAGTCATCCTCTGCGCGGTAGGGATGAGGTATAGGGTGAGGAGGTACAAATGGTTCAAAGACATCGCAGAGTGAAAAGGCCACCTCGACAAAGCAGCACCATCTCTAGTTGTATCCACGACGACGTTTTCCTTGGTTTCGAGGTCTGGCATGAACAACAGCCTTGTTGATCTTCCACTTCGGGCGGGTCTTGTAGCCGGATTTGGTCTGGAGGTGAAAACGAAGAGTCAGTCCCGTGGAAGTTCAGATGGTGCAAAATCAAAAGGTTATACATACCGGAATACCCCAAGGACTCTTCGGGTCGACGTTACCCTTAGACTTTCCTCGTCCACCACCGTGAGGATGGTCCATGGCGTTCATAGCCAGACCACGAACCGTCGGACGAATGTTGAGCCAGCGCGAGCGACCAGCCTTTCCGAGCTGGGTGTATTGGTAGTTGGGGTTGCTGGCGATGCCAATAGTAGCACAGCAGTCCTTGTGAATTAACCGAGTCTCACCACTTGAAAGACGAACAGTAATGTGCTGAGCCAAACGCTCCTGCTTCTGTTGTTCACGCTGCGACAAGGGCTTCTTTTCAGCCTCCGGCTGTTCGTCTTGAATCGTTTGCTGGCGCGAGTCACTACCCTTGGCCACAACTGTAGCATATGTTCCAGCACTCCGACACAGTTGACCACCCTTCCCAGGTCGTAATCCCAAGTTGAAGATTAAGGTTCCCACCGGAACCATGTGCAACGGTAGACAGTTTCCTCTCCAGGCGGTTCTGGCCGCGAGCACACCGGGATCGACAGTGCTGCCCATGCTCTTCCACAAATCTTCAGGAATTCCGGACATGTAGCTCTGGACCACGTCGCCGGCACGCATGCCATCCGCTGCAAGAATGTAGCTCAACTTGCCAGTCTCCTTACTAGCAGTTAGAGCGATGTGTGCAGTGCGTCCGGGATCGTACTCGATACGCTCCACTGTGTGTGGCCCCGGAGCCATGCGCAGAAAATCGACTGTCCGAATTCGACGCTTAGCACCACCTCCATGATGGCGGACGGTGACTCGGCCAGAGTTGTTTCGACCGCCCTTGGCGTGGCCACGTTTGGGGAACGTTAATTTATGCACTGGTCGGCCTTTCCACAGATGATCATTCACAGGACGCCGCAAATGTCTCACACCGGGGGTGCGCGGAGTGTAGGTACGCAGCTGAATGCCAGCAGAATCGCGGCCTGGGGGAGGAGCGAACGAGACATTGGGGTCAATAAACGAATTCACTGGTGTTTCGATAGACTTAGGCTTGTTCTTCTCAATTTCATTCACGATTGTCGAATAGGGACGAACTGGCGAAGGCAGAGACGGTAGACACCTAAAGGGCAGCCGAATGCCCCGAAGGGCAATTCGGGGTTGAAGCATTGCAGCCAAAAGATGAGGGTGACAAAAGGGAAAGCTGGGGTTTGGAGGAATCTATTGAAGAAAAGAGCGATTGATGAAGGCAATGGAGCAAACCAACAAAGACTCTACAGCTCCTCTCCTCTGCTTTGTAGATATGCATCTGACTCTCCACCGGAGCAAAAAGTTCTATGACCACGTGACCTTCTTCATGCACCGCCTGTCCTGCCGCCACACCCCTAGGATGTGGCTAAAATCCGGTCACGGGAATCCATCTGTGGTTCCAGTTTGACCGCCTTGTGTCAGATCTGATGCACGTGATCTCTATGTTACATGAGATTCGATACTATACGAAACCGAAACGTCTGTGGTTGTCGGAGCAACCCGTTTATTTACCCACTGCCATGCTCACGCGTATTGCCCTTCATTGCTGGATCTACTTTTGTCAACCTATCTCAGTACATCGTTTTCTTGTTCCTATTCCGTTCTTCGTTGCTCAGCTCAGTTCTTCATCTTAGAAATTTTAACAATTAAAGGGCTCGAAGGCCGATTCCGTGATCCACGCGACTGGCTGAGTGGGGCTAGTTGTTTTCCACGCTAAGCACAGTACTAGGGCCAAACATCGCCTTTTGCCCTCAAGCTCTCTTCCTTTTCCCTCATCATTCCAGTTAAAGCTGCCCTTCCATCTTCCACCCCCACTCCCCAACTAACAAATCATCGCGTGCGGATTTCTGTTGTACAGCATCCCCAAATCATTTCTGTATCGTTTGACATCTTTTCCCCCCTGATTCGCGCGCCATTTGATCTTCGGAGCCAGGGTTCTGCGCGGTCTTGATAGACATCAACATAGTCATCTTGAGCCGTAAATTTATCGACTCATACCATCCCCACCTGTCTGAAAGCTACCTCTGCCTACTGGCATTGTAGTTTCTTCAGAACAACTGCATTTTCACGCGTGGTACGTGCACCTCTCTCACAACCCTCTGGTATGAGGTACCCACCGAGGTAATATAAATGGAATGCTGACCTGGTTTCCCGAGCAGGATAAGGATTATTATATTCCTGTCTCCTTTCTTCCCTTTCGACGCGTCGCTTTACTTTTATTTTCTTCACGATGCCCCAGGTGAGCAATCTTTAACCTTGCCAAAAACACGCGTTTGATATCCTAGTCGCGGGGTATTTAATTCGTAGCCTCGAGATCCAGGGTTATTCTATAATCTCACCAGACTGATCACTTGCTTCACTGCAGGCCCGCAGCCTTCGTACCAGAGGCACGATGAATGAGAATGATGAGAACGGTCCGTCAACGCGTGTGACGCGAGCCAAGACAGCTGCGCTCAGCACTGAGATCTCAGCCGCTGGAGCCAAGAAACCCTTGCAGACCAAGCGAACCACGTCAGCTGCCACTGCTAATGGATCCCAACGTCCCCGTGCTGCCCTCGGCGATGTCAGCAATGTCAACAAAGCGGATGGTGCTGAGACGAAGGCTGGAAAGAAATCTGTCGCTGTCAAGGCTGGTTTGACCTCAAAGGCAACTGTCCAGACAGGAGGTGTTCAGAAGCTGAGCCGCACCAACTCCTCACGAACTGGGACCCGCTCTGCCCTCCAACCCCGTGACTCTAACAAGAAGCCTGCTAGCAACGCCAACAAGCGCCCCTCGCTCAAGGATACAGCTCTCCAAGAGGATGAGCCTCCCCGCAAGAAGGCCGATCTTGAGCGAAAGACCCGAACTATCGAGAAGATCGTGGAAGAACCAGCGGTGAAGGAGCCGGAGATCAGTGTGAAGGATGCGTTGAATCACGCCGTGCAGGACCTGGATACTGAGGACTTGGATGATCCATCAATGGCCGCCGAATATGTGGTTGAGATCTTCGAATATCTCAAGGATCTTGAGATCATCACCCTTCCCAACCCTGATTACATCGACCATCAGCCCGATCTTGAATGGAAGATGCGTGGGATCCTTGTCGACTGGCTAATTGAAGTGCACACCCGTTTCCGTCTCCTTCCCGAAACCTTGTTCCTTGCTGTCAATATTATTGATCGCTTCCTATCAGCAGAAGTGGTTGCCCTCGATCGTCTCCAGCTAGTTGGTGTTACTGCCATGTTCATTGCATCCAAGTATGAAGAGGTCCTCTCTCCTCACGTCGCCAATTTCAGCCATGTCGCCGATGAGACTTTCTCGGACAAGGAGATTCTCGATGCCGAACGTCACGTCCTCGCCACACTCGAGTACAACATGAGCTTCCCTAACCCCATGAACTTCCTGAGACGCATCTCCAAGGCCGACAACTATGACATCCAAACCCGCACCCTGGGAAAGTACTTGGTGGAGATTAGTCTCCTGGATCACCGTTTCATGGGCTTCCCACAAAGCCACATTTCTGCTGCAGCGATGTACCTTGCACGTCTCATCCTCGAGCGTGGACCTTGGGTATGTTATGTTGCATCGCGTCTGTTCCATGCATCTAATCTAACTTCTCATAGGATGTCAATCTCGCTCACTATTCTGGTTACACCGAAGAGGAGATCCATCCTGTCTTCCAGTTGATGGTTGACTACCTCCGCCGGCCTGTCTCCCACGAAGCCTTCTTTAAGAAATACGCCAGCAAGAAGTTCCTCAAGGGTAAGACACAGTAACTTTCCCCTTCTTTCGTGAGATAACATGCTGACCAGTCTTGCAGCTTCTATCTTGACTCGCCAATGGGCCAAGAAGTATCACCACCTGTACGTCGACAGCTCTGAGCAGAGCAGTTGCGCCAAGGATGAACAGTAATTGTACCATTTACGATGTCATGCTACTCCTGTCTGGCCCACGTCGATGCCTTTCATGACTCCCTAAGGCCCTTGCGACGACTTGCTTGAGCAGGGGAATCGAATTCCTACATATGTTGGCATTTCATTGTGCTGGTATCCACTACCTTTTGCATATTCTTACGACGACTTGATTGAATTTCTGCGCTTTCCGCATTTGTCTTCTGTGATGGGGTGTTCGGCGCTCGGCCCTGCGTGTTCTTGTTTTCTTCTTTTACCCCTACATCTTCAACCTTGGCTTGCTTGTTTTCCGTGCACGGGCATCTGTCTCCCGCCTGCCTTGATATCTCTTACACTGCCGTCGTGTCGCAGGCGTCGTGCTCAATTTTTGTCTTCCTTGAAATCACAATTTTACCTTGCTTCGCCCTGATTCACCTTTATCTTAGGTTGGACGATGCAGTCTCATCTCCTTTGGATCACTATTTTTCTGTTCATCATGCAAGTTCCGAAGACTTGTACGTTTGCGTGGCATTGCGGATTGGAAATCTTTGGTGGGGCCACGGTGGCTATGGGTTTGTTTTTATTTCTCGGGTGTTTCTCAATTCATCGGCTGGAAGATTCAACTGGTTCCTGGAGCTGAGTCTTCCAGGCACGCAAGGTTGACATCGGGTGGACGATTGAGGAAGTATTCAGTGACAAGTTGGACTGCTTTTGTTTTGTTCAAATAGTTGGATTTCTAACGTTGGATCCGTGTGTATGGCGTGCTTATTGAATCCGTTTCTTTTTTTAATTCGTTTTCAATTCGTTTTCAGCTCTTTACTATGTATCTCTGTGGTTGGTCGTAGATGCGTCCATTTTAACCTAACCTGGGTGTGCTTAGCCGAGGTTGATCCCGAGGTCTTTCCAAAGTAGGTCCCCTAAGCCGTGAGCCGAATCACCTTGGAGATGAACCTCTTTGTCGTTTCCCGAGTTCCCTCCGTCTTTGAAGCTGATCCTGAGCTAGATTCATAACCCCACACTCGGACTAAAAAAAGAACACTTCTTCTTTTTATCCAACCATGGATTCCACTGCATCCTCACTGTGCCCGTTCTGCAATATCGCCTCCTCATATCTCCCAATCCCCTTCAACGACCCTGAGTCCAATCCAGTTTCTACCGCCCCAGATTCAGATCCATTGTCTCACGTTATCCTTTCCACCGAGCGTGTTCTCGCCTTCTTGGACATCATGCCGCTGACACGCGGCCATGTCATTGTGGCGCCAAGAACTCACTACAAGTTGCTAGGTGCCATGGGCGTTCAAGCAGGACAAGAGGTATGCAGTCATTTCCCATCAGCCTATCTTTACACGTTCGAAGATCCTTCTTTGCCTGACGTTTGTGTCTCATTTGATGCATAGATTGGGAAATGGCTTCCTATTCTCTCCAGGGTTGTGACGAAGACTGTATTCGGCGATGATCCCGATAGACAATGGAATGTTGTGCAGAACAATGGTATGCGTTACCCTTACTTTTCTTTATTTCAGGAAACCGTTGATCGTTATCGGATTTAAGTACGGAGTATTAGTACGTCACATGCTGTTATGTGCTGAATGTATCAATATTGGTATTCAAGGAGGTTGAACATCCCTGGCCGATCTCTTGTGTATTTTGTCACTAGAGAAAAACGGAATCGTGTCATCACTTGTCCATTCAAGAAGAAGAACAACCACAATCGTCTAACTGAGAGTGACAGGCGAAAGAGCAGCACAGGTAGTACCCCACGTCCATTTCCACATCATTCCGCGTCCTGCACAAGGGGTCAACCAAAGAACAAGCTTTGCTATGTTCGGCCGTGGGCAGAGAGAGGAGCTCGACGATGATGAGGGTGCAGCTCTAGCTCGTGAATTGAGAATTGAACTAGCCAAGGAAGTCGAACGGATTCTGAGGGACGAGGGTGTGGACTTGGCTGCAGATTTAGTGCCAAAAGGAAGCCAGCGGGGAAAGTTGTGAAGTTTGTACGCTGTATCTGGTATTTACTTCCGGTCTTGCGCCTGATCATTGGTCCCATCTTCGGGTTATTCGTTGTAGATAGATCTTTCTACTGCGCATCTTTTCAAGCCTCCGGACTGAAGTTAGGCTAGATAACTTCCTAGCTGATTTGTCACGTTAGGGTTCTTATTCGGACGTTTTTTTGTCCTTCTCGACCCTGGTGCCGTGACCTGGGAGCATGTGCTGGTTGAACAAGTTAGCCAGGTACTGGGCCATTAAATCACAAATGATACGAACCACTCGTCGGAACGCATTGAGATCATCCGCGCTAGTACCCTGGTCGTCAATCTTTTTCCGGGCCTGTGAGATGTCCGACAATTCTCCCTCTGGTAGACGACGGTAGGTTATAAGTCGGCGAGCCCCTATAAGACGCAAAATCAGCCCGTCCCTTGGAACGTCATGGTTATATCAAGAGGCCTGTCACTTACAAGTGTTGAAATTCTGAACGGAGATACTGATAATCTCCAGATTCTGATGCATGGGAACAGGGAACTCGGTTTTCTCATCATTTGTTGTGGGCATCCACATTGACAAACGGCCATTGGGAACCAAGGAACGAACTGCGAAGTTAAGAACGTCGTTCTGCAGAGCCTCAAAGCCGTAAGGCTTTTTGGGGGGAACAAAACCAGGCCGGCTTTACGTATAAGTCAGTTTGTAAGTCGGCGAGGCCCATGGGGTGTAAGAAAACATTACAGATGAGCAGGAATACCATCAATGATCACATTGACAGCAGGCTTTCCCCTGCGATTTCCCAGAACCCGAAGCCCTTCACGCACACCGTACGGTGGGTCGCAGACAATACCATCAAGGACGGCGGTTCTCCGCAGTGGCGTGTTGGTAAGATCGGAAGTGAACGTATCAACAAATCTGCTCTTGATCCCATATTGGTCGAAATTCTCGTAGATGCCCAATTTTCCGCTCTCTTTGCCCCGGAAGCTGCGGCCATCAATGTCTGCGCCCAGAGTCAGAGCCCCAAAATGCGAAGCAGCAACAATGAAACTTCCAGTTCCGACAAACGGATCAAAAAACAATTTTCCAGGTGCTGCAAGAGCCATATTCGCCGTGATGAGACTCAACTCTGCATCCATGGAAGTCGTGCTGATATAACGACGCTTCTTGAGGTCGTATTTGAGCACGTCCTCGCGGCAGCTATCGGCAATCTTACGACTGAGGTAAATCTTCCGCGGATTTTCTGTTCGCGTCGTGCCCAGTACAGAGACTTCAACGTCGTCGATGTACTCTTCCATCACGAAAAACTCCTCATCGGGGTTTGTTAGCCGGATTGGGCCTTTGAACCCCATGTATGAGAAGGACCGAATGATCTCTCCCTTCTGAACTGTGCTACGCGTTCCGGCGAAGTAGTCAATCGTGAATTTGAATGGGACAGAAATGTAGTCATTCCAACGATGCTGGGTTCGTCGACGGACATCTGCATGTAGTTCTTCATAGTTGGCGCCTTCGCCCCATAGCTCAAAGATATCCTTGGCCAGAATACTGCGCTTGGCAACTGCCCGCGCTGCAGCTTCGTTTGGTAGTCTTACGATGCAGTATGGTGACTGGGTATGTCAGTCAGGATTCTGCAAATTAAGGATAACCATGCAAAGGTAGAGAGAGGTGGGGGTCTCATCCATTGTGAGCCAATGTTGGAACGATTTGAACACTTCCAAGAGTGATAGAAAGGGTATCATACAAATTCATTGTAGGCGATGATTTCGATGTCAACACCCGCGAGTGTGGCACAGGCTTGGAGTTCCGGTCGTCGGAAGGTCTCATGGAGTTGGGCGAACCGAACCAGATAATCCATGGCTAGCAAAACGAAGATCTGTCTAATTTTTTTCTTGGGGGTATCTCTTCGGTGGGAGTTCAAGTAATTTGCTGCTTTCAAGGCGGGGGTGTTGCGGGTTCAGTATTTTTTTTTTTTTTTTCCCTTCGGGTCTTCAGAAATATACTCCCCGGAGGTGGACTGTGTCCAACGATAGATTGATATTTCCAAGGGGGATCTTTTTTTTCACATTCCACGGATTCAATAGCATGGAAAAATGATGGAGATGATTTAATTACAAGCGTTTTACACAGTAAAGTCGGACAAGTTAATTTATACTGGATCAAAAGAAGAGAATGAAACGATTGATTGAACTATAGATGAAACCCAGATCTACCCAGGTGTGATATTATCCTAAAATCTTTTTGAAAAAAAAACAAGACTGCCGAAGATATATCAGCACATCCAGCTATGAACAGATACCCGAAGATACGCCCTCCATTAAGATGAAAGCAAGACACGCCCAAAACTCCACACCCTATGCACCAACTACCTTGAACACATGTCGTGAGTCATACCCCTCCACCGAGGTAATGTCCACCTTCTCATCGGCTGGTATCATATGATGTTGAAGGTCCCAACCGGCCCGACGAGAAAGTTCTGATACCACCACATCACAGTCACCCAAGAGATCAATATCGAACTCGGTATGTGACACCGGCTACACGCAATGGTTAGTATGCGACAGTGTCAAAATTTTCAGTATGACTTACAGTGCGTGAGATGTAGATCTGTGGAACGTTGCGAGGTAGAATGCCTGGTACTTCAGCCACAGGGGCTACCTTCAACGAGGTTCCGATCACAATGACCAGGTCTGCTAAATCCCGGTCTTGGTGAATTAGACGTTCGCCAAACTCATCGGGCAGATCCTCGCCAAAGAAGGTGATATCAGGCTATACTAGTAGTGAGTATGGAAGAAAACAAGCAAGGGACCACATGGTCACTGACCTTCATTACTCCAGGGGTTGGGATTTCGTAGTCGTCCTCATCCAAACTGTCGTCAGAGACCTTGCGGTCTTTCTGTTGACCATTGGAACTTCGTTTGCGCTTAATTCCTTGCGGCTTGAATTCTTCTTCGGCAATTTTCTTCTTGCAGGCGGTGCAGTGGGGGACGTTTCCCGCCCTGATTTCATCGAAGATCGCGTCGCCAGGGACATTGAATCCACACTTCACGCAGGTGGCCGTCGCAAAGGATCCATGACATTGCACAATCTTTTCCGGGAGCACCCCGGCATTTGCTTCAATGTTATCGATATTCTGCGTGTAGTTGGTCAGTAGCTTCCCCTTATCTTGTAGAAGCCGAATGAACGCGTGGGTGGGCGACCATTTCTTTTCCGTCGGGAGAATATCCTTCGCAATAGAAAAGAAAACGTTCGGGTCCTCCCTGAAGACATGGATGTCGAAGACTTCTTGTGGGTCGCTCAGGCCTAGGTGCATCAGTTTTGAGTAGAGGCCAGTATCTTTAGAACGGAAATCGGGGATGCCCAAACTTGTCGAGATCTGATTTCAAAACTCGTTAGCATTTGTTGACTAGTTAGGTTCGAAATAGATTTATGAACATACGCCTGCGCCTGTCAGAACGATGATGTTCTGAGACTCGCGAAGGAGCCGAACAGCATCGTCGATGGAGTTGTACTGGGGAAGCTTGGGCCTCCGAGAGAACTCGCGCGAGATAGCGACCGCTAGGAGAGAATGATAAGACTCATCTGGCGCACCATCGAGGAATGCCGGGGGTACGATTCCAAATGCCGTGCATAGCTTTTTGGCCGTGACGGTTTCGCGGAGGATGGTTTCTTCCACGAACGCCGCCTTACCAATCGCATGTAGACGCTGTCGATATGCAGTCGCCTCTTCTAGAGTGCAGGCACCGGGAACTGAGATGGAAAAGCGGGCGTGTTAGCCAATGTTCGTCCTGATCTCCGAGAGCGGGGGTGTCCGGGGTAAGAGGTGAGAGGGTGGATATGGTTACATACCGAGGCCGTCGCGGATCTGGTCATCGCGTATGAACTGGATTGCCTCATCGCAGTTAGACAGAGTGTCCCATTCATCGGAACCATCGCTGTCCGACTCCAAATCCGACGAGATCTCAAGGGCGAGGTCCGGCGCGTCGTCCTCCATAACGTACGGTTCCTCCGCATCCACAGCCTCCACTTCGACCACGGTGGTCTTTACTGAAGCCTCTCCTTTTGGGGCTGGTTCCAAATCCATTTTGCAGGAGTTTGAGATGCCAGCCACGGAGACAAACTCGTTTTCACTCGCGCTTGGAACCTGCTATGGCAAAAATTCGGGCATCTGCTTCACCGGAGGCAACTTAATCCGGAACCGATGAATGAGTTGCAGTGGCGATATCAAAGAAGTTTTGGTTTGTGGTGCAGAGGGTCGACAATGAACAAGAGAGTTGGAAAAAAAAAACGAACGAAACTACTTCTAATGGTATCAAATCAAACAAATCAATGGAAATGTACATCATATCATGTAGTCGTCACTTTTGGTATCTATGAATCAGCCATCTCATCATCCGAATCAACTTCGATCTCTACGTCCGAATCCTCGCCTTCTCCCTCCCCTTCAGCTTCACTCTCATCATCCTCTCCAATTTCCTTGTTCATTTCCTGTACAAGCTCCAAGGCATGATCGCGGAGCCGGTCATCCTCGTACTGAAGGAAATCGTAAAGTTTCAAGCTTTGCTTGAGCCATTCACGACTGGCATCTAGTGATGCATGGCGTGGGGACTCGGCAAGCTCGTCAGCAGTCACATCCTTAGGTGCCTGTTGCTTTTCTGCCAGCAGGAAGAGACACCAGCCTCCGAGGTACCAGGCCTCTACACTTTGATCATCCTCCAGAATCAAGCGCTCGAGGACTTCCAGAGCCTCGAACTCCATATTCACTTCCATCAGGAGTCGCGCAAGACTGATGCGCACCGCAAAATCGGGAATTTTGAGATCTTCTGGGGCCAGGTCCTTCCAGAAGCTCATACTGCGAGTGAGCGCGGCTTGCGCATCTTCGATACGCAGTTGTGAAATCCGGATGGAGGCGAGAGTCTGTAGTACCTCTGGGGCTTCGGGTGTGACAAGAAGGGCTTCCGTGATGAGTGCTTCACACCGGGCTTCGGCATCCTCTTCCCAGCTGAGCGAATGTATTAGTGCTGGCCCACATAAAATCTAGATCATGGAGAAACTCACGAAAGATCTGTCATGTAGGTTTCAGCGACGGCGCAGAGTGCATTGGACATCTTGGCCTTCTTCTGTGTAATCTCTGCGATCTGCTCTGGTGATGTTTGCCCCTCAAGAGACTGAATAGTCTGTCTAAGTGACGCCACGCCCATCTCGAACCACAGGACGCTGTCCTTTCCACCTTGCTCACTCAATTGTGCAAGCCACAGGAACTTCTCAGCACCTCCGCCCTGGGATTCCGGTATCGAGCCATTTTGATCGAGTTGAACCGCCTGAAGGAAGCAATTTCTCGCGGTGTCGATGTCTCCTAGTTCAACGTTGATTTCTCCAAGCAGGTTAATAGCGGGGAGCTGTGCAGTGGTGTTTTCAGCGGTCAAATCCAGAGCCTGCTGTGCAACCACAAGTGCCTCCTCGGCTCGACCAGTTTGTAGGAGGATTGTGGCTTGGTCGAGTAACGTTGAGGGATCTTGAGCCATGTTGCCTTTCGAGATCGAGCCACCAGGGCCGAGTACGGACTTTTTGCGGGGCTTGGATGATCTCTTCTTTTGCGGTCTGGGCTTTCCCATGGCAGGATGCAGCAATGTCCCCCTCCAAAAGCGTTATTTTGTCGACAGGAATATTAAGCAGAGTGAGTGATAAGTGTAACTCACAAGGTATCTGGGGGAAGTTAAAAAAGTGACCCTCCGCCAAAATTTTGAAGCGGTTGTTTGACGGGTTTGCATGTGGGACCGTTGTGTAGGTTTCCCTGGTCTGTAGCTGCAACATTGAAATTGCAAAACCTTTGAAAAAACAGACATCTAGAAAACTGTAAAAAGAACTTCCATATATATATGTGTTCGTCCGTGTTATTCTCCCTATTGCTGGTGGTACTATTTTTTAGCCAACTGTTGTATCGGTTACAAAGAAAGAAACCTTGGAAACTGCGGCAATGAAGAGCTAGATCGTCACACAATATGGAAGTGACCTCAGGAACTCTAGGATTAGAGCTTCCACTTAGACAGAGATCTACTTCATCCCTGTTACCAGGAACAGTAGCGAGGCCCCACCACTCCTATAATCCTATGATGACGGTCAAGGATGCTCACAATTTCGAGGCATCGGTGTTCCATGTCAAGTTAGTTGCCCAGGGAAAGGAGGGCCCTGATCCCAGCCTATTTAGCTCGCGATTTTCCTTATCAAGCACCACTCGAATCTGGTCTCGCTCGGGCTTGCTGAAAGCTTGAAAGAACGTATGAAGCGTGATCTCCATCCAGGAAGAATATCAGCATCAATAAGACGAACTCCGGTGACACGTTGGAGTGCAGCATAGAAACGTAGCCACCCGGAACAAACCCTTGCTTATTTTGGATACCCTCTTTTATTGCAAGGAGAGCAGGTGCGATAGTCAAAACTTGTTCTTAGAAGGCCTTAAAGGCTTTAACCTCGCAGTGGTGGCTAGGAACGTCCTGATTGGCTCACTCGTTGAGTGAAAAGAATTCAGTTCCCCTGTTGGGAATTTACATGTAGGCACGCATGTAGGCCTCTTGGCCGTCTGAGTCGCTGCAGACACGGAAGGTCGCAAGGGCATATGAGGAGGGTCCACATCCAGCTCAAACAGCGGCCTCTGTTTCCTGGTAGTTTTGTTGGAGATCTTGGTGATAATGGTCCATTTGGTGTGCTTGGGCTTCTCAAACGCGATTTGCTCACCCTGCGTGGGGAAGAACCCAATTTGAGACATTGTGTCTATGAAGCAAAAATGCCTGAAGAGAAACAAAGGAGAGGAGTAGTCTGTAGAGTGATAGCGATGCAATAGTGACATTAGCCTCATGCTGGCAACCGTGGTCGGGCTAATCACTTCTAATCACTTTGCATAGTAAAATGCATCAAACCGGACCTGTCTAACTTTGGCCGTTTATGCGGTCTTGTGACGTCTTTATGGTCAGTGGAAGTTTTATAGAGGTTTTTTCAAAACGCCATTTCCTTAACAGATATTTTGCTCCCCTTCTCAGTTTCATAGATAAAACATAACAGCAGAAAAAAAAGGCGGCAAAAGCCCTAACTTGCGAAACCGACTTTTCTATGGATTACCTCGGATGGGCGAGTGTTGTTGCTTCCTATCCACGTGGTACTTCTTATATAGCTAGCCTGGGGGGTTTCTTCTGTGAAGATTGGTGAGCGGGTCAGGGTGTTTTCACGGCCACCACACTGGAAGCCGGCGATGATGACGGTGAAGTGGTAGATCCACGTGACCAGGTTTGGCCCCGACATTTGTTGCGGTTGCGCTCCAATCTTTTTTTTTTCTGAGTTGGCTAGCATTGCGATATCACAAAGTCTTGCTTAGACAGCCTTTCAATCCGTCCCGCTAGAACCACTTCCGCCCCCGCCACGAGGTGTTTCCCGAAGAATCTTCACCTCCGGCGCTCAAATCACTACCCCTCCAATCCGCAGGCGGACCAGCAGCTATGGGTCGCGAAGACCAGATTGAGGAGCGTGAAGTGCTCGATTCAATCTTCCCTGATGAAATTACCGGTAAGTAAAGCCCAGTCCATTAGACGACTCCAACACCCTTTCTATTTTTGCTCACAGCGAGTCCCGCACCTAGACATATCCGAAACCTCGTACCGTGTATCCATAACTCTCGATGCCCTCGAATATGACGGTGATGAAACAGAACAACCTGTGATATGCCTGGAAGTCGCCTACCCGGAAGAATACCCCGATGTTGGCCCAAATCTCGGCATTTCCTCTCCACCCAATGCTGTGAAACATCCTCGGCTAGATGTCCAGGAGGACCGGGAATTGCTGATGGAGTCTCTTCAGTCAACCATCGAAGAGAACCTGGGAATGCCGATGGTATTTACACTGGTCAGCGCACTTAAGGAAAGCGCAGAGCAGCTTATGATCGAGCGAGCAGACGCGATTCAAGCTGAGATGGACCAAGTCGCTGCGAAGAGAGAGGAGGAAGAGAACCGGAAATTCCATGGCACACCAGTCACAGTTCAGTCATTCTTGGAGTGGCATGCCAAATTTAAAAAGGAGATGGAGGACGAGGAGCTTCGGGTACGCGAAGAGAAAGAATCGGAGGACAAGAAGAAAAAGACCACGAAAGAGGAGAAAAAGCTCACAGGCCGACAATTGTGGGAGAGTGGCTTGGCTAAGGGTGACTATGACGAGGAAGAAGAAGATGCCTTGCCAGCTCTTGAGAAGCTTAAAGTGGCTGCATGAGCTCATACATAGAAATGTTAATGACCTGCCGTTAATTCATGAAATTATGTACAATAACATTGTTGAATGGCGTGAATATACTGAACTATCAGTGAACTGGTATCAAGGGTAGACGGAGTAATGTACAGATCTGAAAGCCCACATGGACTGAGGTTATGGTACAGGAAAAGAGAATGCCCAATCATTAAACAAAAAGGACCTGAAGGAGAGCTGTCATCTTGGCTCGAGGTGCTTGCTAGAGCCCAGAGACTTGAATATACTAGCAGTCCATGGTGCCCATTGATCGGATATAATCAAAAAAGGGCATACCTGCCCAGGTTGGCATGGATACTATACATGCCTTTTGGGCGCTTTCAGCAACGGACCTTTTTTTCTGATATAGGGCGACATTGCATGGCCATGGACGTAGGTCACTCTGATATGGCCGAGTATGGACCTAGGCCATGAGGGCCATATGGTCAGACCAAAATCTGTCTGCCCGAAGAGCCATCGGATTGAACTTTGGGAAGGCAACGAGATATGCGCGGCAAGGTAGACCACTAGACAACTAAGTTTCATTGCCTCGGCTGCTTTTGGCTAGCTTCTTCTTCCGCCAAAGCCTTTTCAGCTAGGACAATCTTCCACATTTTGTCTGCAAGTTCCCTCGCATGCATGTCGAAGTGTCCAATTTTTGCATTGACATCGACAATGGCTTTTGCAGGATGCTCAGACCAAGTGGATGGCTCCCTAGTATTGGTGACACGATCCCACTCCTCTTCGTCCTTGGCGAAAAGAAGTTCTATCTTCAGCCTGTCTCGAAGTTCAATCCATTTCCAGCGACGTCCAAGTTTTGTTCGTATCACGCTGCTCAGGTTTCTTGGCTGCGGTTTTTTGTAGCGCAAGAACGGAAGCCCGCGTGCATTGACAAGCACAGGGACATTGCGCTTCTTGTCGCCCAACGGCTGGGGTCGGTTTAGGACTGAGGTGGCGTTCGGATGCCGCTGGTTTGTTTCCTCTTGGAAGCGGATTGATTTTGCTTTTCGGGCTTTCTTGGCCGTAAGGGGTTTGGCAGGCGGCGTAACTGGCCGAATTTTCCTTTGCAACTCAGCATATTTATCTTTCTGCAACTTGGCTTGGGCTATGAGAGTTGTAATACGGTGTGCATCATGCTGGTTGGTATGGGATGAAGAGAGGATATCTAGAGCCTATCATACGGTGACAAAATATCAACATAGATTCAACCTAGACCAAGATTCGATGCGCATACCTCATAGCCTGCCTTCAAGGCATTTGCTGTTTGTGACGGGCTTTGTAATTTTTTAAATTTTCGGAAATTCTGTCGGACTAGGGGTTTGATTTCACCCAGCCACGGAGTGTCTGCAGCTGAAGGACGGCATTGTCGGAGAAGCGCTCGATAAAGTGCCAAACCTATCAGAGACAGATTGTCAGTTGGAGCGACTAGAAGCGTAGGGAGTCATCTCTCACACGCAAAGCGGTGAGCTCCATTATACTTGGGCACCAGCACTTTATGCATTCTGCCGTGTTGAATAGTTCTACTAATACTGCCCAGGTGAAGCCAAAGCTAAACAACCATATCTCTTATCATGTTTCGATACTGCCAGTTTACCGCCTACTGTAAATGAGTTAGCTTACCTCACTCCATCTGTGCGGTCTGCATCCCAAACAAGTTAGCGTGTTCGAGAAAGTCACATGACATCAACCGCCTATATATTGGCACCCATCCCCACAACTTTTCCTCTTCTTCTTTTCTTCTTCAGCTCTCTTTGCCTATTGGCTTAGATCAAGTGTAGTATCTGTTCTTTTCAGTTTAATCTCTGAAAGTTTCCGTCCAGGAAACACTTTGATTATTCCTATTTTTGGACCCCGCGACTTGGCCCCTGTGCTTGCGCATGCCTCGTTGCACAGTGTCATTGGGCTTACACTACCCCCGATCGACGCGAACCTCTTTTTCATCAACCGCTCGGCTTGCCCGGGCGCTTGGAGAAGAAGCTCACTCCACCCTCGGTCATTCTATTCCGCCTTGATATTCAAACGTGAAACGTAAAATTGCCCCCTTGTCTGTTTTGCTGTCTTTCGCGCCATGTGCCCCTTTAGGCTCATCCACTGGTCTTGTCATGACTTCCCTTTTTGCTAGCCTCGGGGCCCTCGGATGGGTTGACATCCCAAGGGCAGGTTCACTCTATCCTCCTTCCTCCCTTGTCCCTATGTTCGGGTTAATGTCTCATGACTCTCGGTACAACCATGTGCTATGCGAATCAATAATCTCATTATCTCATTTAATTTTGTTGTACTAGATTAACGGGCGCCTGCCGCAATGCCCAGTTCCATGAACACTTTAGAGATTAATAGCTAATGTAGGGATGGAAATTGAAAGTTGGGGCCCAAAAGGACCCCTGCTGATGATTTCATGCAGAGACTGTACACGCTCTAGGGTGATAGAAAAAAGAGAAGAAGCCAGGAGATTTAAATGAAGCCGATCCTGATATTTCAAGATCCGCCTGCACTGAGTGGGTCACACATGCTGGACTAGAAAGTTGAGCCCTCCGGGGGCTGCGGCAGCTTCTTATGCTGGGGCAAGGCCATGTACCTGGACAAATTGTCAACACTAACCGTCATATTGTGCCACTCTTTGTGCTCACCTTCTCAACTCAATCAGTACTGTCTCCATGGTGTTGTCTCGTTTCCACTGTGCCAGGGTTGGAAGCTTTGTCGGATCAACCTATAGTACAATCACTCAGTAATGGCTCCGTCTTTTGGTATCCACCTTTCTCATACCTTGCCAGAGCTGGGATCGACACAGGGAATGTTGACTCGAGAGACGAATTGAATGGTAGGCGGGTTATCGGGGTAGTCAGGTCCACAGTGAATGTTCACACTGTATATCCGGTTCTCATGAACGCTCTGAAAGATGGCAAATTAGTGATGGTGTCATGGTGGCGTGGAGTAGAGTCATTAACTAACGTGGGGCGGACCAAGAATAGTTCCATTCCAGTTGCTCATCATCATGTCCTCCCCATCGGCAAGTCCATATGAACAGGCATCTAAAAATAAGAAAGATACGTCAGCGATCTAAGATTGGAGTCCGCATGGTCGGAGGTCGTCGGAGTCAATCGTACCAGCACTCAGACCCTTCTCGCCCTTCTCGAGCTCCTCCAGGAGTCGAAAATTCCTTGGAACCTTAGCAGCCATATTGAGCACCGAGTAGTGGTTTCAAGGGCTGGAAAAATCACGACAGGTGTGAACAGATGCAGGAGAGGGATGATGCGACAAGAGGGGCAGCGCGCTAGGCGGTCAATTTGCAGCACAGTCACGTGTGATACGGCCTATCGACGGCTTGGCACCTGTTGGAGATGCCACGCCTTGTTGATCCCATCGTGGAAATCGTTGTAATAGCAGAATCGCTGTCATTGTTCTCTTGCTACTCACATGAAATTTGTATCAGGGCACCAATTTTGCAAATCTTCTGGCGTAGAAATACCGATTCTTTCATCTGCGATTGAGAGCTCCCCGCACTGTTGACATCGGGACCTCGGGCATTAGCCTGTGCTGGCCATGCTTTGATACAACAAACCTATATCAGAAATGTCCTCCCAATTCCTGCAGACGGAGATCGCCAATTTGATTCATGAGTCTCGGAGGAAAAACTCCGATCTTCGAAATGTTGGCTATCACTCTCGAGGCATTATCGGCCACAACACACTAACGAGGAATTGACAGGCCGCTGAACAATCGTTGAATGAGCTCAAAGCACTGCCATCAACTTCAGAGGCTCAGATAGCAGCAGGTAATCTCTTACATGGCAGCCCTGCGTCATTTTCCAACCGCTAAATTGCAATAAGACCTTATACGCAAACCGAATTTTGTCGAGCCTTTTATCATTGCATGTCATACTCGGCATGCGAAGCTTGCTGGTATCGGTGTGATATGTTTGCAGAGACTAATTGCATCTCGGTCATTACCCTCAAGTCGTTTGAAAGATGTCATCAGCGGCCTGAAGGAGACCACAAACTTGAGTAAATGCCCAAAAAAATCTATAAATTTAAATTGGGCTAACACTTCATAGGCCTTGATATTCAGCTGAAGATCCTACAGTCTCTGCCTTCGCTTTTGCAGTTTTACTCCGATGAATTGAGCGGAGAGCTTCTTGCGAACACGTTGGAAATATGCGCCACACTACAGGCAAGCAAGATGATTGCAGTCTCTAGCACTGCCGCGGCCACGCTCCAACAGCTGGTGGTATCGACTTTTGAAAGAGTTTCGAGCGAAGATGAACTTCCTAAGGATTCCAAAATCATCACAACCATCAAAGTCGATGGTCAGTCGCTTGACATAGGCTACTTCGCCTATGATGCATTGCAAGTATTGGATGATCTCTGTTGTCTGGTCGATGGTGAGCCACTGAAATTTCTGCGAACACGAACCCTATCCCCGACTTTTGTGTTAGAACTTATTGAGAGTATTCTCCTGAACAGCGGCCGTCTTTTTGTGGGACATCCTGAACTTTCGCAAGTGCTCCGCGTTCGGTTGCTACCGCTAGCCGTCCGTTGTTTATCTGAGAGGTATTCATTCGCTCAAACTGTCCGGATCGCTCGAATTCTTCTCATTCTTCTGAAGCGTCATATGTCCCTCTTAACTACAGAATGCGAGATGGCATTGAGCTTGATAACCCATCTGGTTGAACCGGATGGGACAGCGCCCTGGAAGCGACTGATCTGCATGGAAATCTTCCGAGGGCTATACTCGGAACCGGGCGCTGTGCGGCTGATCTACACTTTGTATGACGGCGAGGAAGGCAGAAAGAACATACTTCGCGACCACATGGCTGCGCTGGTTCGGCTAGCTTCAGAGAAGCCTTCGTTGATTGGCGTCAGCAATCAATCAACCGTACCTTCACGTGCGGAGCGCTCAAGTTCCACCACAGAAGATCAAATAACTCTTGAAACTGGCGGTGTGGCTGGTGTCATTGGGTCAACTGTTCCTCCAAGTGAAACCAAAGTTCCTGGAATCAGTACTCAGTGGAGTGTTGTTCGTACGCCATATATCGACCTCCTTGACAAGGCAGATCCACCCACACCGCCGGACACTTACATTTACAGCCTCGTTCTTAATTGTATCAGCAGCTTTGCTGAGGGGCTCGCGAAATTCATTCTTCCATTAACGGTCCCGGATCTAAAGCAAAGACGCAAGAATCGACTTATGAGTCCCATTCAGGGACCCGACTCCGCCAGATCTTCTCAAGATTTCACAGCAGAACCTATCCGAGTACAGTCTAGCTCGTCATCGAAAAAATTTCAAGTTCCCATCAATCCTTTGGACCTGAATTCTCATGTACAGTATTCGGCCATCAAGACCTGTGCAGCAATAATAGAGAACTGTTGGCCCGCTGTCCTAGCAGCTTGTTCCATCTTTTTGCGCGCATCCTTAGATGACGAGTATTACCACAATCTTGTTCGAGCATTCCAAAAGTTAGCTCATGTGGCGGGTCTTCTGAGACTATCTGTCCCCCGAGATGCTTTCTTAACAACTCTTGGGAAAGCTGCCACGCCTGCGAGCGCAGGTAGTGCCAAATCAGTCAATGTGCCTGTCACTGGCTCTCAGCAAAGTGGCACACCCCAGAAGAAACGAAGAAGTGCGGATCTGTCACAATTGTCCAGTTCTTTATCCATGGATACTGCAGGAACTACTGCGGGGGAAGGGCCTCCTGTGTCTCTGAGCACGAGGAACCTACTTTGTATGCGGGCTTTGCTCAACCTCGGAATTGCTTTGGGGCCGACATTGGATCAGCCAGCTTGGTCCATTCTTTTTGAAACACTTCAATATACTGGACTGGTGATTGGCATGTCCTCAAGTGCAATGGTCAAATCTGCCAGTGGGACCGGGGAGACTCCAGTCACCCCGGGAAACGATATTCCAACTGCTAATCTTGGGACTGAGGTGATTGCGGTCCAGGCGGCTTCTAACAAAATGCTCGAGAGCACCAGTGATTTCCCAAGTGCACCTTTTGAGGAAATGTTACTTGCTTTATTGAATCTGTCAGCAGTTACGGAGCAGCGTCGCAATCAGGGTGATGACCAGGAAACATCAGAAACGCCTCAAACGCCGCAATCCCCCCAAGCAAGTGGACGCTTGCACCAAGGTTCCCGGCGCGTATCGCACACCGTCGGAAAATCAAGAATGCAAGACGAGGAACTCAAGTTTGTATTGGAGAAAGGAAACGAACTAGCCAAGGCAAACATTGGGAGACTGTCTTCGCTCGAAGAAGATGACAGCAAAGCTTGGGAGCTATTCACGCAAAGTCTTATCTCGGCTTCCGCGAATGCTACCGTCAGTCCGAATCTTCGCATGCAGGCAAGCGCAATTATGAATTCGCTCGTATTCTCAACAATGAAACAAAGGGACGAAGATGATGAGAAAGTCTACAATCAAGTGCAGACGAGGAATTTGCAGACATTGAAAGCCCAGGTCGCCTCGCTCTATGCATTGGACATGCACACCTCCAAGTCTTTGCCGATA